AGCTTGGAACTGGTAGAGACCCGAGGTCTTGGAGATGATGCGTGGATCGAGAACTAACATACTTATAATAGACGAGTTATAATGCTTTTGAACTCAGAAGCGGAAATTAGCTTATTCGAGTACATATCTACGCAAACTACCTTCAGCTGTTTCAAGATCGAGGGATTATCGTTGCCTAACATTACCTCTCCCTTAAGCTTATCATACTCCATGCGAAGAGATTCGAGCGGATCCTCTAGCTGCTCCGAGAAGTTATATTGTAGATGTGTGATTGAGAGGATCTCCTTAAATAGCTTCTTATCGTCTATCGATAGCTTATCGTACTTATCTTGACTCAATTCGTTATTGAATACAAGATCCTTGATCATGCTTTGTAGAGAGTCGCTGATCTCTCGCATCGGACCACATTTTCGTCGATTCGGCTGGCAGATGGTTAGTGTCTTCTTATCCAGATCTGGAAGTCGAATGAACTTAGAACCAAGCTTGCGGTAGATATATGCCGATGGAGTAGCTAAGTTCTGAATATCGTTCAGGTTGTATGTCTGACCTTTGCGTCTAGTAGCTCCTTCGAGAGGTGTCATGCCAGCCCCCATAAGCCCACGTCCGCTTATCTTCTTTATTTTTTTAATTTTCATCGTACGGCTATTCGGTTTAGACATAGCCTCCCGCTTGCTTCTGAATTCATCAATTTCATCATCAGAGTGTTTTACTGTAGGAAATTTAAAGTCCTTAACCCCATGAGCATTCATTATGCTATAGAATAATTTAATAGTGTTGTTAATACGCTTTTCTTCTATAAGATTTTGTGGACGTAGCTGTGGCTTGACTTCATCAAGGAGATCACCTTGCTCATGCAACATGAACATAGCATCATACAGGATGTCTAACGAGCTTGTCCAATCAATCTTAGACATTAAGTCTTTTTTATATTTCCCACTTGCAAGAGGGTGCGTACTACGCCTTTCGTTATTAGCATCATGCTGATTTATGGTCCTAATACCAAACTGATGGTTATCACCTTTTGCTTTGTACCAATCGAGAAAGTGAGTATAAGCGGTTTGCCCCCTGATATATAACATTACTCTGAGGTCAATAACAGAATGATCATAATATGCTTGCTTAACGTAGTCTTCGAGAATTGACCTTGCCTCTTGATCTGGTATACTTAACCTTCCATACGGACGATCGCTACCCACCTGTTTATCACCAGGCTTCGTCTGCCTTAGTAGCTCGGTATCTAATAGCTCGGACTCTCTAAAGATCTTACGATGGTTCGCATGAATGATTTTATCCATCTCCGTTGTTCCAACATCAAGATGTTCAGCTTTAACTTTCTGCAATATCGAGCTTAGCGTAGCAACATAATCAACATCATTTTTCAAACTAATAGCTTCACGTTTCGAACGATAATTAATCACCTTGAACTCACCTACGCGATCGTCTTTTTTTAGATAATAATTGTCTGATTTATTACCACCATGTTTAAAAATAGGCTCAATTGGAATATGATGTTTTCTAAGTAGATCCTCATAGAATGACAAGAACCAATAGAGACGTTCTCGACTTAGGTTTTGATCTTCTCCAGTATCAGCACTCTTAGTGGATTGTTTAATAGCAGCCTTTTTTCTCGTTTCTTCTTCTTGGTCCTTGTGGTAAATGAGTATAGCAGTTCGAACATCTTCATTGTTTCGAATCATATCCCTTACATAGCTTTCAGACACAATCCAACTAAGTTTGGATGGAATCGACTTAACTTTGCGATTAGATGAAAATCTAAAGATATCACCATCTTTTCCGATGTAATATTTGTTCAGTGGTCGCGCATTCATATCGCGAGGGAGAAACTTAAATCTTGATAGTGGTGGATTACGTTGATATAACCCAATCAGGAGCTCATGAGATTCATTTTCCGCAGCCAATAGCGGATCTATCGTTTCCTCAGTTTTTTCTTCAGGGAATTCTTGGGAGTTAGTTGACGGGCTCTCATTAGCCATAGGTTCTTCCACAATTTTCTCCAATGCTGTTTGAGTTGATCGCTCGGCGTGTTGAGTTTCGTCTTGTGAACCTAGCATGGTATCAACTACTATTGGAGGCTTTTTTAAAAGACCATCATCAGTCTGAATAGACGAATCCTGAGTGGATTGTTTAGAGACTGAGATGGTATTGATAACATCTGATGCCCATTGAGCATCTGCATACATTTGTCGCTTCTGCTGCTCTTGCCTGACACGACGCTTAACGCGCTCGAGTAGATCGAGGCGTTTTTGCTCGCGTTGAGCTAACGAAGAAAAATTAGGAAACATCTTTTCACGTACTATATATCAATTCTGATAATTATTTACGAAATTTTGACTGATATTGGATAGCCTCAGGTTTGAACGACGTTCGAGGTCGACAAACCTTCGAACTAAGTTTCGATCGATGATCGAAGGGTCTTTGACCGGAGATCGAGATCCCCTGGTCGGCAGACCAGTCCGAAAGGCCTGCCTCTCTTTCGTCAGCCCATTTCTTCATTGTATATTTATGGACTATTGCATTTCTCCTATCGAGCAAGGAGATATACGATTGTTGGCACTCATCGAATGGTAGATCAAAAATATCTTCGAGCTCCTCTTTGAAACGAGGATCGTTGCAGATGAATCGATACGGTCTGTGCTGTTCCAATTGCTCCAATCGATATTTGATATAATCACAGCGATTGATATCTACTATCATTCGATGATAAGCGTTAAGCTTCTCACTGAAAGTACGAACACGTTGATGCATCTTCTTGAGCTCTTTTTTGAACATCTGGATCTTGTAATCTTTTTCATGTTGGAAGCAATATCCGGAGGGTAGAGCCTCTCGCGAGCATTGCTCATCAGATTTGGTCGTTGCGCGGCAAGTCATGGCAAGGTAGAGTCCGTCCGGACGGGGTTTCATCCGCGTCATCAGGACTTTTGTCAAGGCGACTTATGTCGTCGAATCGCAAACAAAGTTTGCTCTATATTAGTATAGCGAAAGTATGGAGCAAACTTATTGCGATTCGACAGATTGTCTTATGGACATCTGTCTCGATGACGTTGAATATATTGATGAACCTGAGTGCGATTATGTTATTGATAACAGCGAGTACGCTACCCCACCTAAAGTAGTAAGGAACTCTGCTAAAAAAAAATGAACCATACCACTTTGTGTTAAAAGAGGAAGTGAAGCCTCTAGCGGTAAAGCTACCTAATGATCTTAAATCACTTGATATTGAGGCTTAATTCCTGGCTCCTACCGTCGTGAAATAATTTTTTTTCCAAAGTACTCATCTTGTTCTTATTAATTAGTCTGAGATTATCTTGTGGCTCCCAGGAGTCCGGCTCATTTCCGACCCATTTGATTAGGTATTTATACTTCCCGTTCCGCAATTTTTTTGCATCCAATATCCTCTCCGCCTCGATAATATCCCCTCGATTTATAGTTGCGTCCGTCGCTTCAGACTGAACCACTTTGAGATCATTTGGAGCTTTGTAAAGCGTGTGTCCATTTTTGGATTTGATTTCTACTCGATATCCATCAATACCAACTACAGTATAGATGGCTTTACTCCATCTAGCAGCTTCTTTATCAAACGTCTGCTTTTTTAGACGATACATAACGTGTGAGCCAACCTCAAACTCGTTCTCGACCTTGTCAGCTTCTTCCTGGTTATGCGTAAGTTCTGATTCCATTACCTTTCCTATGGCTTCGTTTGGGGTCATACCGATGGACCGATTGAACGTAGAATTGTAGTTTTCAATGACATCGCTTATCAGCTTCTGGGATATACGTTTTGGTGATATCTTCGTTAGCCTCTGCTTGATGGTCCTATTAAATCGTTCAATTTTTCCCATAGTTCCGTGATCTCCAGGCTCGTTGTTGAAGTGGTCGATCTTCTTGCTTTTAAAGAAGGCTTGAAGCTGTGCATTCATAAATTCGCTTCCATTATCGCTTGTGATTATGTTAACTTTATGTATCCGTACAAAAGCTTTAATAGATGCTAATACTACTTGCGCGGTCTTGTTTGATAGAAGCTTTGCGTAGCCAACCCGAGAGTTGATGTTGACTGCTGTCAAAATTGGTTTCCTCTCCCAAAACGCTAGATCTATTTGCCACGAGTTGGGGTTATGAGAAGCAATTCTGAACCCATCGAACCGTTTTTTCTGCTCTTGAAATCGTTGTATCTCAGCTTGGCCCTGGTACCAGTCCTTGACTATTTTTAACGTAATTTTATGGTTTAAATCTTTTGCCTTTTGATATAGCGCTTGAGCTCCAATATAACCCGTTTTGGGATCATAGTACAACTTGTGTAATAGATCATCCATGTTTGAGCTACTCCTATATGAGATGTCATAAAAAATATGCTTTCCTCCCAGAAGCATATGAATTATATCTCCAATGGAGCAGTCGTGATGCCATCTTCGAGGACTCGGCGCTTATCGTAATAATATGACAAGGCCGTCTTCGTCTGACTATACGTAATAATTGACTTTGCCTCCTTGCAAAGTCGAAACCCCTTGTTGGTACCTTGTAGCGTGATACGGTCTCGGACAACAGTTTCGAAACCTTTTGGGTTTAGCACATCCTCATTGCGACCACGACCTTGCTGAACGCCCTTTGCGGAAACCTTGACCTTGTACGACTCGTCAGGTAGATAGCAGATGTAGTTCTTGGATGAGAGAGAGACCATCGCATTACCTGTCCATTCATCCTTGAATAATCCTGGTGTACGTCGATCGAACTTCGCTACCTCATCGTTGTAGTCGCGTGGGAACCACTCGTATTTATGCTTTTGGAAGTGCTCTCGCAACTCAGGCTTAATACAGTTCTGAAAAGGTTTCTCACAACTAAAAGCCATATATGCTGAGTCAGTATCCATTTCCTGGTATTGGAAATCGGATCGATCGAAGTAGAAGTCAATGCAGTCGTAGTAGAATTGTAGCATTCGGAGCTTGGCTAGCTGATAGATAGCAATACTGAGATGAATGGGGTTCTTGTTCTTGAGACGACGTTTCTTTAAAGTAATCTCACAGGAACCGTTGAGCTCCTCTAATCCGTGGAATGTGAAGTGCTCAATCTTTGACTTTACTGCCTTATCATCTGATTCGTATTTGACTTCTTTATGCTTACTCATATCCATGCCACTACGCCCAAAAGCACTGTTTCCTACCAATTTCATCATCTCGGCAATCATAGCCTTAGACTTATCAGCATCACCCTCCCGTCGAGCATTGGATACTGCTTCCATGAATGGCGCAAATGCTTTGTGAGAGCTGGCCTTGATGAAGCTGTACGTCTTGGTGATTTCCATCCCATGGGAGAGATACCACTTCAGTAATGGCGTGTATATGAGTATCTTCTCTCCGAAATAGCTTCCAATTAGCTTGCGAGCTGGTTTGGATCGACTTTGCTTGCGTGCGTCATTGTAGCTGAACATATGAGACCCAATAACCTTCTCGTCGGTGCAATCAATCAAGGCATTTTTGAAGATTGGGGTCATCTCACTGAAATGCTCTCTCAAGCGGTCTGGTGTACGAATATCACACTCAAGGAAACCGAAGATCTTATCGGCCTCGATATCTTCAATAATACCCGGATATGCGTCGATCGTAGTCAATCGACCGCATGGCATCTCATTACCAAGCGCCCATAGGTATAGTGCGTTGGCGTCATAACCAATGATCTTCTTACAAATCTTTCCACCTCGAATCTTCGTCTCGTTGCGCTTGGCATATCGATTAAAGATAATTGATGGACCGCCAGCGATATTAGCTTTCATCTTAGCGTAGATGTCTTTCTCCTCCTTATCAATGCTATAAACTAGCCTGTCTGAGTTGAACTCAAGGAGCTTCTTGTATCGAAACCCCTTCAACGACATATCCTTACGAGCAACGTTGCACTCGACACAACTGATCAAGATGTTGCCATCGATATTACCCAACTTGTTATTAATACGATCGGCCGAGGCCGTCTCGATAGTTAAGTGCTGGTAGCATAGCCCACAAAGATATTTTTTGCTGATGTAGCAGCTTGTCTACGTGTTTGAGACTCATATTGAACTCGCGGTTAGCGCTAGCATCCTGGATCTTGTACCCGGCTAAACGTTTAACTGGGAAGTTGAATGCTCTACCAGGCTTCTTACTAGGATACCGGAGGTTTTTGAAGCATGTTTGATACATGACCTTCTCCGAAAGTCCTGGTAAGGATACACCATCGGTGAACATATCGAGGTCAAAGCGCTTGAATAGCTCACGTTGAGCCTTAATAGCCTTAATGAATGGAACGACATCTAGATTATTGTACCAAACCAGAAGATCCTTAATCGACTTCATCCCATAGTGCTCCCACACAAACTGTACCCGCTTGTAGTCTTCAACGGATGCAGTTGTGTTTTTATGCTTTGAATCAAATGCTTTACGTGGTGGTAGTGATGTCTCGTTAAGAACTTCGAAGCTGGTTATATACTCGTATGGGAAAATTCCCTTGGCAAGACCACATACACATCGAATTTTATCATCACACGTACATCCACCTAAATAAGTTGTTAGGTACTTATCATAGCTTGTTCCAGCTGGAACGTAGTTGCTAATGTCGAGCATTTTCATGTCCGGCGTTGCGATACACATGTAGGAGGGGTTCTTGATAACTGATTTGATATTGTCTGTCCCAATAACAGCGAACAAATCGCTCTTGATTAGGTTGATATCATATCGACCAGAATTGAATCCAAGTACTGGTACCTGATCGATCGTTTGTTTGATCCTACCATAGTCGGAACGCTGCTTTCCGAAGGCAAGCTTGCTGTGGAATTCGAAGAAGCTGGCAAAATCGCCGGTCGTAATCCAATCATCTACATCATTGGTACTATACTTCTTACCAAGTTTAACACCTGGAATTTCCATACCAGTCAAACCATGAGCATTGATGATCTTACGGAGCAAGGACTCGTACTTGGAGACGTTGTATCTTTGGATTTTCTCTCCAATATCGCTGATGTAGTCGAACATATCCTTTAACAAAGCCTTGGGATTAGCATTCACAAAGCAACGCACTTCTTCCGTCAAGCTATCGGCTATTGATACCGACACCGGAATGTGCTCGTTTGTGAAGACAGTATTTTCCCCATGCTTAGTACTCGTAGGCTTGAGAATAGCCTCAAAGTCATATACGATGAAGTGATCAATGTACTGATTAGTACCCTTGGTAGAATACTTCGTGAGTAGGGAGCCAATGGTATTCTGAGCAGGGCGATAAACCGTTGGAATAGCTGGGAATGATTCGACATTGACAAGCTCACACTTATTTTTGGTATGGTTCTTAAGCTTCTCAGAACTAACAAAGACCATATCACACTTCGCACACTGATATTTACGCTGAAGCACGTCCAGGTTCTTAATGTAGAGAGCATGATTCTCGTGCGAAAGAATGTTGATCGAATCATAGTCCATGTCGGATCGACGAATGCAGTCAACCTTTCCAGAGTCAATATCCATAGTATAGACATTGATACTTAGTTTGAAGCACTCCTCAAGCTCGTCAAACTGTAGAATATCAATGGGCTTGAAGCTTCGATACAGACCGAGGGTGTAGGTAATACCCTTGAATGCACAGTATTGTTGGAAAGCCTGCTTCACCAACGACTGAATCTTCCGTGGATCCTTTTTGGGATCATTATGCTTGTGGAAAGCGATACAGTGAAAGACACATTTATTGTTCGTCTTAGGGAAGTTGATAACACTTTTATTATCTCGAATAATCTTCGGGATAACTACTTCACTATCTCCCAAGGCGTGCTCGCGATGATATAGAAAAATCTTGAACCCAGTGATAGCCTTGAGTTGATACCCAGAGCTGGGGTAGTTAAGCTTGTCAGCCATCTCCATAGATCGAATCTCAGAAATAACCTTACGAATGTCGCTCCTGCTGTTGATGGCAACAGGTTTGTCGAATACAGAGGTATTGCTTAAATTCGGGTGATAGTATCTAGTATCATAATCATCGGTTTTGCTGATGAGATCATATCCGAGAGCAATATTCACCTTGTAGGCACTTTTCTGGCTCTCTAGAACGTTCTCAAGCTTATCGTAGAACTCACCACGCTGGATCCCCTCATATAGGTGAGACTCCATGTGGTTGCCCTTGTAAAAACGATAATGAGGGTCAGTCTTATAGTCTGAAGACAGGTTCTTCTTCAAATCATTAAGACTGACATCGTATTGCTTCGCCACAAGCTTTAGGTTGCTAAGGCGCGAAAGGTTGCTGACATAGACCATCTTACCAGTTCTACCACGAACCTTAACGCGGTAGGTGGTATCCCATCTAATAGCACGAATATTTAATCTTCTTAATCCTTCAAGCTCGTACGGCAACATTGTCCTTATATATCTCCAACTATATTATTCTCGATTGGATGACTTTATAATATTGAGATCTTGTATCAGGATCGACTTTATATCACTGGCGACTTTTTTCATCTCAAAAAAATTAATTAATTAGCTAAGTTCGGTTTCAGCGCTAAGTTCGTTTCCATCCTCATTAAGTTCGATTTTGGGCTTACGCTTTCGAGCACGAATCTGCTCTCTATTCTTATCGTCATAGCTCTTTTGATAGGACAATCGTGCTTCGCGTGTGCGCTGGTAGTAGCGCTTCTGCGCTGCATTAATGCGCTCCTTGTTAGCTTGGTATTGTTCAGGTGAGTATGCCATCTTCCTATATTAGTAACTTTATATTTATCAGAAATAACAATTATTGCCACCGGACGGTGCACGTTGCAGAGGCTGCACCGCATTCGCTCTGAAAATTAGCTTGCATGAAAAAGATACATACATTCTGTGCGGCTTAAACAAGTCGCAAAGGGAATCAACTTTCTATTAGCGATTCGACAACCTTGAGAAGAGATTCAGCCGAAGGTCTGTTTGACGGACTTTTCTGCAAACACTGTGCCTTTAAACTTTCCAGTTCCGGTGAGAGATCTTGAATAGGTGATGTCTTCAAAAGGAAGCCCACGCTCCAAATGTCAACCATGACTGTGTGGGTCGAAGATAATATCTCGGGAGCATGCGATTCCGCTTTCAAATGACCTACTTTAGCAGCCGGCGATGATGTTCCCTCGTCAAAGTCAATAAGAAACCATTTGTCGCCTTCGTCTCGGTACCTCAGCACATTTTCCCATCGCAAGTCTCGATGCATCAGATTAATTGCGTGCATTGCCACCAGTGCTTTGAGAATATCGCGCAAGGCCATCAGGAGCTGGTGGACATTTTCAGGCGGGGAGAGTCGACCAACCGGTGCCAGCTTCACGTACTTCTTTTTCATGTTTGTATTCTTTAGCTCCACAACGTTCGGGACTGAATGTTTCTTCATTCGCCGATGCAATTCCTTCAGATTGCGGATTATGTCGTCACTTGGCATGTTCTGGGGATACGTCTTCACCACACAATCTTCAGCGAACGTAATCTGCACACCACTGTCTCTTTCGATAGTGCCGTACTCGAGTATATCCAGCGGCTCGATAAGATCCACAACGGGTCGGAAAAGAGTCGAAAGATTGAGCAATGCGAGAAAGAACGACAGCCGGCCATTGAGATCACCCAAGTCGTACGTTTCGATGATTTCCACTTTCGCACCACGTTCCGTCATTTCGTCTTTCCGAATAGCTACCAAGCACACCTGCAGTCCCACAGCAGCGTAGCCGAAAACGTATGGCGCAGCGTCATATCTCCATGTTAGCTTCTCATGCAATTCTCTAACCGGCACTTGCAACTCGCCACTTGCTTTTTCTTCCCCACGCACCACGCACACATTGCTGTTCTTGTAGTAAAAGCACAAATCTGGGCGATAGAGGCCAGTAGATGTAGACGCATTCGTGTTGCGACGAAACTTCCCGTTCGACACACGTCTCAGCAGCATCGCAATAAGGGAATCCCACAAGTGATGATACGTGTCTTCAGTAGCGAACTCGGAGCCAGACCCGAGGGGATCGATTACACTCCCCAATATGCCCGCAGTAATATCTGAAAGTGTTTTACGCGGATCGGGCTCAAACACTTTGTCCAAAATGCTAGATAACTCCCCTGTTGTGTTCTTCGTGGACACAATCAGGAATAATCTGTCATTGACGGGAACCTTGACGTGAAGCGGGCGTTGCAGGTGCTCTCTCAAATCTTCACAAGTCAACGGTAGCTCTGTAACCTGCTCATCCTTGATAGCCTTTATCCAGGCGTCTGGTGCGTCTTCGTCTTCCATTCTTTTCCTCTTCCTTTTCTTCTCAGGTGCCGTCGAGCCATCCGGAACGACCACCAGCACGTGAATTTCATAGGTGGATGGCGGCAGCATGCCCGCCAACACTTTCTTGAGGCCCGACTCTCCCTGCAGCTCCTTGTCTTCATGCGTTAGCGCTTCGACGAGAGCAGTCTTCTTTCCCTTCTTTAGCTCCTTCACATCTTCAGTGAGGCTCGACAGCCACGCGTTGTCCTCCGCCTTCGCCAGGAAGAGCTGCAGGTCCTTGGCGTCGCATGTGATCGTCGCTGAGTTCTCCGCCTTGATCGCCTTCTTCAAGTCATCCACCGAGTCGCTCTCGTCGTCCACTCTCACGGAGAACGCACTTCCCGCCACACCAACAATCGCGCAGAAGAGCTTCACCATCTTTCCTCGAGGCGGCGGATTCTGGAATGAGGAAGGAGAATTTCCGTTCGTATTTAAGCGGAAATGAAGGCGTGTCACACAGACTTCCAACCAATGGTGAGAGGCCACGTAGAATGGCAGCTGGCGCTAGCATGACCTGCTTTTGCACACAATCCCAATGGCGCTATGTGCGGTGCTTGGAGGTGTGGAGGAGACCTCCTTCGCACCAGATGCTACTTGGCGGTATTGTAGTTGATTTCACCAGCTGGTGATCAGGAAGCTCTAACCCTACTCGCGTTGGTAAATTACGGGAAGAAAAAAAACTGGCGGCGTAATGTTCCGGATATTACTACTGACGTGTATCGGCCGATACCGGCGGCAAGTTCCAGCACATCCTTGTGTTCCATGGACGGAGCCTTGTCTGGACCTCCAGCTCATTCAGCGTCTTGGCATGGGAGTCCAGCATCATGGTCTCCACTGTGGCGCTCGAGCTGTGGCCTTCCCAGTACGCCTTCATCAGATCGCGTGCGACGGGCATTCTTAAGTTTTCCGTTGTGGCTGGTTAAGTTGCTTGAACTCTTGGGGTGAAATTTGAGAATGAGCTCCTGAAAGTCTTCTGCCGTTGCGTAAGCAAGCAACTAGCGACAGCGGCGGATGCCAGTTGAACCTGGAAACGACACATCTCGCTCCGTATCTAGAACACGTCTGATAACAAAGCCAGAGGATTGGGTGTATACAACACAAGTATACACCAATCGCAACCGTGAACCTTGCCACAGCAGCTTCATTGAAGGCGTCAAGCGTACATGTTGCATGCAGAATACGCGTTTGCTATGCTGCTTCGTTGACACAAGGCACGCTCGTGAACGGACTGTCGCATCTTTTATCCCATCGTAACAGTAGACGTATTCGTCTACAGCAACGACAAACACTCTGACATGCTGAATCCAGGTCTATCTTCAATGGATCCTCGGTATCTCCCGGATCTACCGCGGATACTGCGATTCAGTCAATGCGGGCAGGCGAGGCTCGAGTAACGCGCAATGAGTTTGTAGGACCATCACGTGGAACAAGAGGAAGCTCAGCATGCCCAGTTCTAGGCAAAGCGCCTTAATCAACGAAGACTAGCAGTTGCAACTGATTAAACGATCCATTTTTATTATTCGATAGTTCTGTTCATACGATCACTTTGTGCAGGTCTACATTCCACTTACTCGAACGAGCCGTACGGGTGCTCACCCGTCTGCAGCGTGAAGGTCGCGCACAGCGGGTTGGCTACGGCTGTCTCGTTGTACACGTCGCAGTCCGTCTCGGGCTTGATGGCGACCACGTAGTCCGCGTCTTCCGCCACCTTCTTCAAGCCGCTGCCGATCTGCGGGTAGTACACGCTCCAGTCGTCCGCCGACAGCGTGAACTTGACAGTGGTCGACTCGCCCGCCTTCAGGTCCACCTTGGTGAACTTCTTGAGCTGCTTCACCTCCGGCACCGAAATGGTGCGGAACGGCTGCGTCAGGAACAGCATCACCGTCTCCTTGCCGGCAACTGTGCCGGAGTTCGTCACCACCACCGATACGTCCACCGTCTCGGTAATCGACGTCACGTTCGTGCGGCTCAGCGTCATGTCCGAGTACGTGAAGTCCGTGTAACTGAGACCGTGGCCGAACTCCCACTGCATCTCGCAGTAGCCAGTTGCGCACTGCGTGCTCACGAGGTGGTTGTACGGCATCAGGATGTTGCCGGCGTCCTTCGGGTATGTGATCGGCATGCGGCCGCTCGGGTTCACGCGGCCGTAAATGATCTCAGCAATCGCTTGGCCACCGAGTTCGCACGGCAACATGGCGTTGATCACAGCGTGCACGTTGCTCGGGAGCTCTCCGAGCAGACGCGGACGACCGCCGACAAGGACGACAATCACCTTAGTGCCGGTCGCCGCCAGCTCCGACACGTACTTGATCTGACCGGCCGGCAGGGCCAGGTCGTTGATATCTCCGTACGTCTTCTCCGTGTACGAGTGTTCGCCGATAACCGCAATAGTGTAGGCGGCCTGGCTGGCATATTCCTTAGCCTGCGCCAAGTCGCTCTCGTTGTACACACCCGTGTAGTTGAGACCGTTAAAGTACGTCAACGTCTCGTTCGAGATCGCCTGGAATCCGTCCTTGACACTGATGCCGTTCGGGAACATGTCGTTGCCCGAGTATCCCTGCTGACTCAGTGACCAGCCACCGCATTGGAAGCCGACGTTGTCGGCCGAGTGGCCGGTCAAGAACACCTTGGCCGTCTCCGGGATCGGCAGGACACTGTCGTTGTTCTGCAGCAACACGATGGACTCACGAGCCGAGTTCAGAGCAGCAGCCTTGTCCTCATCACTGCCGACCTGGTCTACCAGATCAGCACCGGGAACGGCGTTGTCGTATAGACCGAGCTGCAGCTTAAGCTTAATCACACGACGAGCGGACTCCTTCACACGGTTCAGGTAGGACGGGTCCTGGGCGATGAGCGCCTTGGTGGCGTTGATGAAGCCGTAGTCGCTGCTAGCCATCGTCATATCGATGGACGTACGCTTGATAGACAGCGTGGCGGCCTCCTCGTTGGTACGAGCGAAGCGGTGCCACGTGTTGAGGTGCTCGATCTCGGCAAAGTCCGACACAGTCATCCCTTCGAAGCCCATATCTTCGCGGAGCAGCTTGTTCATCAGCTTAGTGTTGGCAATGGTAGGGATGCCGTTGACGGAGATGTAGTTCTCCATAGCAGACATGACGCCGGCGTCAATCGCAGCCTTGAACGGAGGCAGGAAGTAGTTGAGCAGATCGTAGTCCGACAGCGTAACGGGGTCCTTGTCGTGACCTGTGGGGGTCTTGGAGTACCCGATCCAGTGCTTCATGCACGCAGCAGAGCCATTGTTGGACTGGATACCCTTAATAAGGGACTCCGAGATGGCCGACACCAACACCGGGTCTTCGCCGAACGTCTCGTACACACGCGGCCACAGCGGATTCTGTGAGATTTCGAGCATAGGACCGAAGATCCACGGTGTTCCAGCAGCGAGTGTGTCGCGGCCAGCAATGCGACCCATTTCGTAGGCCAGATCGGGGTTGAAAGTGGCGGCTCCGTTGATAGGCTGACCGAACAGGACGGCACCGGACGTGAAGCCGGCACCGTGAAGCGAGTCAATACCGAAGATGAAAGGGTGACCATCGTTCTCCTCCTTGACGATCTCCTGAGCGCGTGACAGCACGTCACGCCACTCCTGGGCGGTCCAAGCGTACTTGCCATTGTAGGAACCCGATTGCCACGGGCCACTCAAGTACGAACCGATCTTGAGCTTGGCGTACGCACGGAACTTGTCCTCGTCGAAGGTCTTGTCCTTGTTGAAAAAGCGCGAGAATGCGACTTGCACCATTTGGCCAACGAGCTGGTCTTCGTCCATACTCTCGATGATGACATCGGTCTGGGCGTCCCATTCGTCCGCAGCAACTAGTGGGGTGCCGGTGAGGCTGATTGCGAGGCAGCACACAGCAGCGAACCACGACTTGAGCATTTTTGCCTTCCCTTTCGTTGTGCTGGTGTTGCAGTCGACTGGAAATTGGGAAATGACAATTGGAGTCGTCGGAGACCGCTGGCTGAAGCCTCCCCGGCCTGTTGGTATTTCTCTGGCAATGCATCAGAAACTTCAACCACGCAAGCTAAGCGCCCCGGCTAACTTCAGAAGACCGCGGAAACGCAGAGCAACAAGCCGGAGTGCATCAAGGTCCTGGTGCAAAACAGTGCAAGTTTTAGTCAGTCGCGCCGTTTTTAATCTCGTTACATGTACATTTGTAATTGAAAGGCTGTGGCGAAGGCTTGAATGGTACAATGCAACAGAATCTGTCTGTTGAACAGATACATGTACGAAGGGATACGCTTGGGCGAAGCTGCTGTCTGAAAGTAGCAGCGGAGACCAAGCACCAGGCAACTGTTCTCGCCAAGCAGCATAAATTTGAGTGTGACTCTCTGTTTCTGGCTGGCTGTCCCGACACCTTTGAGCATTTTTCTGAACAGGGACCGTGTTACACGGTTATACTTTTGGAGGGAATTCCTCGGCGCTTTGCAAGCAGCTGGTTGAATACTGCTCGCGAGACTCAACAGGTTAGCCTTTTAGTATCCAAGCAAGTTGGACTGCAGTGCAAGTTGTACAGGGTTGCACTGCAACCCTGCTTACTGTATTTCTTCCACACAATAACGGTGTTATTAACGCGGAGTGTACGTGTCATTGATGTTGCGTGGAGAAAAAAAAATCAAGTTGAGCCCCGCTCTTGACAATGCAGTGATCATTAGTGTGGCTTCGTCGCAGTTCATGTCGAATTGCATACATTGCGTTCGTAGGCTACGAGTCGTAGCATTCATGCTGTACAATGTACTAGATTTCATCGTGGTTCTGCTATCCAAGTCCAGATAGGAATCGTATTGTATCATGGATGGAGTTTCACAGAAGTGGGGGTACATCCTCACGGCTTAATACCTGACTTGCCTCCAATGCAGCATTGGGATATCTACGAGTTGCAGTGCACTTCCACAGTGAATTCTTTGTCAGTGGAACGCTGTCTCCGCAGGATACAAACCTCGCTTTGCCGTTTTCATAGGCCATGTTGTTTACGGTCGGCTTTTAAGATGTAATTCTGAAGAACCATCATCTAGGTGCATCTATTTGTCGGAGCCGTCGATAAAACGCGACAACTGAATCAAGGAGCTAAAGAACACTCAACAGATCAAGACGCCAAATCGAATGACAACAGAATTTAGGAATCGATTTTATTTTTTTTACTGCAGAACTACAAACAAGCATATCAAAGCCCGTGTTATTGAATATGAATACACTCTCTTCAACTTTGCATAAATGTCGTGTATTAGATAGTTATCCAAGAGGTTTCTCCGTTCCTATCACCTAGTGCGCGTTCATCTGACGTGCCACGAGTCCCTTGTAGATGCCATTAGGCAGCTGCATCAACTGATCGTGCGTCCCCTGCTCCACAATGGCGCCGTCATTCGTCACAGCGATGAGGTTCGCGTTGCGAATAGTCGAGAGGCGATGCGCCACGATGATCGTGGTGCGCTGCTTGAGCGTAAGCAGTCGATCTAGCGAGGCCTGCACCACCCGCTCGCTCTCATTGTCCAGAGCACTAGTCGCCTCGTCCAGAAGCAGCACCGCCGGATCACGCAGAATGGCTCGGGCGATGGCAATTCGCTGCTTCTGACCACCAGAAACTTGAGCGCCACGGTCACCAACGTCCGTGTCGAAGCCGTTCGGGAAGTTACTGATAAAGTCGAACGCGTTCGCCTTCTTCGCGGCCTCAATAATCTCCTCGCGACTCGAACCAGGCTTGCCTAGCTCGATATTCTCGGCTATAGTGCCTGCAAACAGCACCGGCTCCTGACTCACAAGAGAGACGTTCTCACGTAGCCACTGCAGATTCAGCTCCTTCAGGTTGTTGCCGTCGAGTGTCACCATACCGGCCGCAGGGTCGTAGAACCGCTCCATGAGTGAGATCGCTGTACTCTTCCCACTACCACTAGCGCCCACCAGCGCCACAGTCTGGCCACGTGCAATCTTCAAGCTGTAATTCTTGTATATCTTAGCGTCAGGACGTGCAGGATACGCGAACTGCAGGTGGCGAAACTCAATGTCGCCGTTGACGTGGTCCAACGTGCGTCCCGTACCCGAGGTGGCGTCAATCAGTGGCTTGCGGTCGATAACCTTGAAAACTCGCTGTGCTGAGAGCTTGGCCTTGGCTCCGTCTGTAGCTCCCTGTGCAGCCATTCCTATCGCGAAGGTACTGAGCATAATAACCATAAGCACCATGAAGAACTCCTCGAACGTAATAATGCCACGCGAGATCCAGCGTCCACTGACGTAGAAGAGCACAGCGAGGACCAAGAACATCGCTCCTTGTGATACTCCGAACGCCAGGCCTCCCACGATGCCGATCTTCACGTCAGCCTGCTTCGAGACGTTCAAATACCCCACATACAGCGTGTTCAATGCAACCTCCATACTGAAGGAAGCCACCGTGCGGATAGAGCCAATGGCCTCAGACAGCAGAGACCCTGCTGCAGTGTCAGCGTCGTTGTTCTGCTTGTTACCGGACGTACCGGCCATTTGCTGAGCCTGGATATACGAAGACGCAGCTAGCACTGGGAACGCCGCGAGAAGGATAAGCGTCATCTGCCAACTGTAGAAGAAGGCGATAGCGAACGCGATAGTGAGCGTAGTGAGGTTCACGAGGCCTCTGTTGAGTGTCTCCGACGTCATCGCCTGTAGCACAGCCGAGTCCGTAGCTAAGCGAGAGACCAATGCACCTGAAGAGTTCTCGTCCAAGTCGAACCAGCCAATCTCTTGGTGCAACATGGCACTGAATGTGGCCAACCGCACACGAGTCACGAGGTTCTGGGAGACCACAGCGAAGCCGTAATGCTGCAGTGTGATGGAGATAGCGAACAGAATTCCTAGACCGATAAAGCCGATCGCCCACCAGCGAGCGTCATGCATCATCTCGCTCTTCGTGTAGTCAAGGTGGAAGAACAACACGGTAACTTTCACCAATAGTACACCCCATACGGGGAACACTGCAGCGTTCACGATAGCGCCAAGAGAGCCCGCGAACATGAACTTCCACTCCGGTAATGACATCTTCCAGACTCGAGCCATTGAGACCGGCGGGAGATCGACATCGCCCAGTTCGTTGTCACCCTTGGCCAGTGCAGTTTCCTTCTCATTGGCGCTGTGTCGACTGATCGATCGTCTAGAAGACCGACCAGAGCGTACAGTGGGGTCATCAGTAGACTCGATATCCTCCACACTCATCACCTCAGCGGTGGCTTCTTCCTTCTCTTCTGACGCCACGCGGTTCTGAGCCTCAACAAGGAGACGGTAGTGGCCATTCTCAAGCTTCATCAACTCATCGTGTGAGCCGATCTCCACGATCGCACCCCCGCTGTGCACTGCGATGCGACTGGCGTTGCGAATAGTGGACAGTCGATGGGCCACAATGATCGTAGTTCGGTGTGAGTTGGCCAGTAATTGGTCGAGAGAGGCTTGCACAACTCGCTCACTCTCAGTGTCCAGGGCACTGGTAGCTTCATCGAGAAGTAGAATGGGTGGGTTCTTGATAATGGCTCGAGCGATGGCAATGCGCTGCTTCTGTCCACCTGAGAGTTGAGCTCCACGCTCACCTACTTCAGTCTGGAAACCCTGAGGGAATTCCTTAATGAAGGTGTAAGCGTTAGCCATCTTGGCAGCTTCAATCACCTGTTCATCCGAAGCAGAGGGACAACCGTAGCGGATATTCTCCATGATAGATGTGGCAAAGAGCGAAGGCTCTTGACCCACCAGTCCCACCTGTGAGCGTAGCCACTTGACGTTCAACGTACGTACATCGACACCATCGATGCTTACAGAGCCACTAAGTGGGTCGTAGAAGCGCTCGAGAAGCGACACCATTGTACTCTTGCCACTGCCACTGGGACCCACTAGCGCCACCGTCTCACCAGGCTCAATAGTCAAGGAATAGTTGCTGCACACCTGCACCTCCGGACGTGAAGGGTAGGCAAACGACACGTTCTCAATCTGAATTCGACCCATGACCTTGTCCAGCTTCTTGCCTTCGTCATTCAGTGGATCGATGAGTGATGGACGTTTGATAGTTTGGAAGACAGGGAACGCTGCAGCACGCGCTGAAGCGATAGCCTCGGCGCTCGGAGCGGCTTGACCGAGAGCCATAGCGCCCATGATAACTGAGAAGAAGACTGTAAGCACTCGACCGCCATCGTAGCAGCCGTAACCAGTGCAAGTATTACCGTCCAGATTGTCATTAGCCACCATCAGTGCACCGAAGTACATGCCACCAGCGTAAGTGAAGAACACCGTGCCGAACATAAGACCCGTGCCCCATCCAACCGCTAAGCCCTTCTTGATACCGGCCTTAGTCGATTGACCTAGAGCGTTGTCATACTTGGAGATAAAGTGGTTGATTGAGTTGAACATGTGCACTGTGCGAACGTTACTCAGCGCCTCTTGTGCCACTGCACCAGCTTTACCGTACGACTCGAGACCTGCCTGAGTGGCTGTTGACAAGACTTTCATGGCCAAGAAGGCCGTGAATGCGATGAATGGCGTGAAAGCCAGCAAGATCAGAGCGAGTTGCCAACCTTTGACAAGTCCGATCACTATGCCCGAGACAGCCATGGAGAAGAAATTGAGACCATCGCCGATCTTGCGACCCATTCCTTCTTGTATAGTCACAGTGGCTTCGGCGACACGTGAACCTAATTGCATAGGCTCGTTGACATCGAACCAGCCAATCTCCTTGGTCATGATGGCACTCACGTACTCGCTTCGGATGCGTTTGGCCTGACGCGAAGCTGTGATGGTCCAGCATGCAACTTGGAAACTACCGGCAATGAAGACTGCGATACCGACGTATACAAAGTTGAGAGCGACACTTCTGATGCCATCTTCAATGTCTGCCCCCGGGTCTGCCGGGTTGAACGTGTTGAGCACGTCACCGAAGAGCACGATTTGTATAGGCTGCGAGACTCCTGCGGTTAAGGCGCCAGCCGTGCCGAGAAACATGAGGAGCTTGTCGATCCCGTCGGCGTAGGAGAAGAGCTCGCCCATTGACGCCACCTGCCCATCCGCAGGTTTGTCCTTAGACACGGTCTCCTTCGGATTCTCGACGAGGTTGAACGCGACATCCAGTCGATTGGTCTCATCTGCATGCTTCGGGGTCTCCGATGCCACGAAGGTAGCAGTAGACCCCATTGTTTAAGCTTGTATTTGCGTCGAAGAGTCCTTGTTGGTGTCTGGGGAAAAACTGGACTGGTAACCAATCGATGGAGAATTGCTAAATGAGACGGTTGTTGCGTTGTTGGTTGCGGCGCTGTGCTGGGCTGATAGCATCTTACCGGACGCATGGTCAAACTCTTCAGAAATAGGCACACCCGTAAACGGCAAGGAAACGATTGCAATACTGTATTTGTCTGTTGATTTTGTTCAACTCCATTGGAGTCTTTCGTAATCGTTCGGGTGGTACATTTGGTGGTACGTTTGGTACCGCACCATCATTCACCTTCATGAACACCAGAGAGAACGATAGCGCAACTTTGCCATTGGTTGATTTGCAGTCGTGCATAGAAAGCAGGGTGACGGGTGTCGGGTGTCTGTTGGTGTTGTTGCCGTACTATTGTCTCTGATGTATTTTAAAATAGTGCTGCACTATTTATTATTATAGTGCATAAGGAAGGAAAAGCTCACTCGAGCATACGAAAGCGCTGTACCACCGTATAACGGCTTCCACGAAGACGCGTAACGGGTTGCCTTCAGTTCGTGAAGTTGTAGATGCACGTCAGACTGACGCTCAGTCATTCATTGAGTGTAATGTGAAAAAATGCATCCGATAGTAGTGACGTGCCTCCATCCCTTTTGCAACTATGGAATTCTAGACGAAAATTTTGTGGACGAGGTTCATCCAGTTCTTCTCCACGAATTGTCAGCTTGGAGCGGTAAATATGAAGTTTATCAGCATAGATTTTTATTTGACCTAGTTTACACGTAGTTGAGCACTAATATGACAAAGTAGTGGCGGTGTCGTTAAACCCAACTCAGGCAACGTCATTATATAAATGGATTTTTCATCCCATGCATCATCCTGCCAACTTCGCGGTAGATGCCCAGAGAGCTGCCGATGGAGCCAAGGCCAAACACTCAGCATAGTGAGCTCTCAAAAGACCACCAGCCGCAGCGCTTTGGACAACGAGAGTGAGCGTGTAGTGCAACTGCTGCTCGATCGACTGCTTACGTTCTCGCACCAACAATAATCGCTGTACGAGGAAGTTTGGCGTTCGATTAGTTATTATTCTCCTGACTGTTTACGTTCTCGCACCAACAATAATCGCTGTACCGTTCATGCCAGTTGAAGTGAGTGTGGCCATATTGAACACAACAGGTTTGCTTATGCTTTTTCACAGTGCCATCAATAATGTCTCTTGAAGGTTGCAGCAATTCGAGCGACACCCGAGTCCGCACTCGTTGTACCAAAGGCGCGCTAGGACAGGCGGAGCACTCAACGGAGGCGACTTACTGCTCCAAGAGCGTCCTCTATAAGCATGGAGAGGCTCGCTCGACAGGTGCAGACGTGTTTCTTGTATCTGCTAAGCCCTCATTTCTCGTCTAACTCTCACGTTATCCTCAATACAACGACGTTTGTACCAGGTTCAAGAGACCCAGAAGCTACTGAGCGATCCCCAGACGAACTGGTTGGCCTGTTCCTCGGCAATTGAGGAGCTGGCGACGGCTGTGGAGGCGCTCCGACCATCTACGAGTCGCAAGGATGCAGCTAAACTACTACTGAGCCTCTCGGTACGACTCCAACGGCTTGGTTACCGTTACGTTATGATACTCCTCGACTAAGTTATTGCATTTTACTCTTTTTATTGCATTGTTTATATTTTATAGGGCAACATCGTCACGCAGCTGACCTCGCACCGATCGAAGCTGGTAAAGGACACGTGCGAGTGTCTACTAAGGATCGTCAATGTTATGGGACGAGACTTCCAGGACGTGGCCAATGCCTTACTGCCCCATATCGTCGGCACGGCCAAGAACTCATCGGCAGCCATCCGACAACCAGGATCCAAGCTGCTAAGCAAGATGTCAGAGGTCGTGCGGTACGACCTGTCGTTCCTGAAGAAGATCTACATGCCATTAATGCAGCGTAAGGAAGATACCTCTGGAGGACACTGCGATGCTTCGCAGGGGGTTTTATCTGACGAGTTTATGGTGTTCTGGATGTACAGCTAAGGCTAGTATGCTGGTGTTGGAGCAACTGGGGATCATTTTCGTCTACTGGAGTGATAGCGAAGTGGTGCCATACGAGTCGGACGTGCTGGACATGATTCGACGAGGACTGGAAAATCAGGACGAAAAAGTCCGCAAAACGGCGCGTGAGGTTCTCGCGCGGTTCTCTTCACGATGGTAGGTCTGTTGCTTGCGCGAGCTGGAGAGTCTTTTTACTGATTAAAAACTATGTAATGGCTTTTATCAGGAGTGAACGTGTGGATGAACTGGTGGACATGCCGTCAAGCCAATCGAAAGCGCTACTTGTCAGTGAGCATCGCGATTCGCCACTAGCTGAAGCAATCCTGAAGAAATACCCGGAGTTGAGCAGCAAGTCGGATTCGCTCTCTCGCAGCAGATTATCTTTTCCAGAGTCGCGCACCGGATCTCGCAAGTCTCCTCGACACAAGCGTGAGCAGAATGTTGAAATTCTTGTATCGAAGACTCCCCCTCCGAAGCAACGCGAGCAACGTGGAGTCTCAATCCAAGAATCGAACGTCGCATTTACTGCGAGTACTAGTATGAGAAGAATGGCTACGTCCCCGGAGAGTACTGTACGTGAGAAGAATGCAGACTCGCGGCGGTTATTGGACGATCTGGATGTTCCGGGTGGTGACGATGGCCAGCAAGAAGATGCACTCGAGGCATTCGATGGTTCACAGATGTACAAAACGGCGGAGTCGGAGAGTTCACAGCTGCTTGCACAAGAGATTGGGGACATCCCGAGTCCTCCACCTGCTATTCCAAGCCGAGGGCGATCATCAAGTACATCTAGTGTTGAGGTAGCATCGCTGCGCCATCCTGCCGTCCGAAAGCTTCAGGAAACAAAGATTCCGAGCCCGTTGTCTCGTAGCCCAAGTCTTCTCAGAAAGAAGAGCCTGGACTCATCTTCTAGCGCTACTAGTTCTCCAAAGCAACGGCCGTGTATGCTCCCTCGCCCAGGTAGCTTTACGCAGGAAGCGCGTGGAAGTAGCGGGCCGTCCACACCTGTTGGTAGTTCGAAGCTTGAAGAGGACAAGACTGACACGAATCCTTTGAGCGCAAGTGACGAGTATTTCAGCAAGCCGATCCCCAGTTCTATTGCAACTCCGACACCGACACCTCCGTCGACAGACAACGTAACTCTCCGATCTAGACGACGAATGTTTGTCCGCGAAGACCAAGACAACTCGCTGCTGCAAACTTACGCTCCCGAGCTGTCGTCACCGGAGTTGTCAGCGTCAGAAGAGTTTGTTCAACCGCAGCAAGAGGAAAAAATGCCGGGTGCTGTCGTGTACACAAGTTCAATGGGCCAGGACGCAGCGTCACCTCTGCATTACCAACTGTATGCTGGCAACAGCGATGAAGCAGATGACATTGGTCAACTGACAGAAGGGAGTGACCACATTGAGTCCGACACTGAGTGGGACCACCGCCGACAGGATTATAGCGACTACCCTGTCTCTGAGGAAGAGGAGGACCAACAAAAGTCGAGTTTTATCACGAAGAGTGATACGTTCCCAGATGAATGGCATCTTGACGACGGGCCCAGACACAAATTTGAGCTTGAAGATGACATTGGCGATCATTTAAGTGACGAAGAGCAGGATGGAGCCAATGTTGTTGGCGCGGTGGAAGACAAGCAGAAATTACTTATGAACGAGGCGGAAATGCTCGAATCAGTATCGCTCGAGAGTGTCGGATCGACACGGCAGGAGTACTTCACGGCGCGAAGAGATTATGAAGAGGAAGAATCTATTGAGGAGCACGAGGAGCTGATTACGGAAGACACACCCACCAGTGACGCGCTAGCTGGCCTGCTGAACGTTCGTGCCGAAATGACACGCCTTCGTGAGATCACACGAAAGGAAGAAAGCAGCTATGGATTGCCATTCAATGAACGTCATGATCCATCTACACGGTACGGAGGAAATACGACGGATGCTGCTGAAGAATCACATGAAATTTCGCATGTAACGAGCGCTGTGTCTTGGGAGAACCCTACCAGTAAGGGACCGTCGTACTTGGAGCGCTTGACTAGCGCTGATCGTTCTGCACGGAGCCCGCTTATTACACCGCCTACTGATGCTACGCGTGGAGAACCGAGTGACTTTATGAAGCAGCAATTACCGTTGCAAACGTTTGGACCGACTTTGCAGGACTCCGATGATGACCACGAACAGGTGGAGGGCAAGAACATTTTTGCTGAACATGCTCAATCACCGAGTCCGTCGTCAGTATTTGACCAGGCTACTATGACGAACGATGAACCCAAGATGGAACCTGAAAGCTACAGCTTGCACGCAGAACCAAACACTGGTCTTCAAGAGGTTTCCCAGAACCAGGAGTCGTTCATTGCCCATGATGCTCATGCTGGACGTTTTGATGCTGCAGAAAAACTGTTTGCTGCTGAGCAAGTCCACGATTTCTATGGCAGACCGCAATCACCGCATGAGCCTTATATGGCACATCAGGGACGCGAGCAGGAGCTCTACAAGCGTTCTGAACCTTGCTACCCTGCACCAACACGGATGGGCGATAAGCTCGGTTCCGCTTTTGAACGTAAAGCGGTGACTAGAGATGTCGATGATGCTCCAAAGACTGCCCTTGCTGAAAATTTGATCGAGGCAGACGATTCTGGTAAAGAAGCTGCTCCAAAGCCAGCTCTGGAGAAGACTGATGAAAAAGCTTCATCGCCGCCGTATCAACGAGTACCAAGCATTGTTGAATCGATGCTGCCAGCAGAAAACAAGCGTGATATTAACCCGACACCTGCCAAGACGCCGGCGAATGCTACACCAGAGAGAACTCCTCCGGCAGCCAAACTGAGCTGGGTTTACTCCTTTGGCATCTCGCTTGTTATGCTTCTGTCGGCAATTTTCTGCATCGCTGGCATCCTCCACGCAGCAAATAAAGTGAACGAGTCGCGCGAGTATCACCTGGATCTGAAAGAGCGTATTGGAAAATTTGAGTCGAGTATCACTGAGTCCCACAAGAAGGTGCTCAAGCTGGAGAAGGACTACGCTATCTGGAGTGAATACGTCCGCAAACTGACCGAAGAAGACGAAGCGAATGCCCTGACTCAGCTGCAAGCACTCCACGTTGAAGTGCAGAAATGGCAACGTGACATGCACGAAGACCTCGTGCAATTCCGACAGGCGCTATCGGTGGACTCCATCGAACAAGCGTTTGCGAACTTGCGTGTGAACAGCACGAAGCAAATTGGAGATTAAGTAAGTACGACGAAAGCGACAGCGCCGCTCCAAATATTTGCCGTTGTCCAGGACAGCAACCACTGTTGCGTCCATCTATTTAACTATACAGGACTACAGTAGAGCACTCTACTGCTGGTTCTGGAAATCAAAGCTACCGTCCTCGTTTTGCGCGTTCTTGTCGACAGCAACATCCAGTCCACGGTTCGCCTCCTTCAGCCTGTCGAGAGCATCGTGTCCATCTTTACCGAGTGTGTTTCCTCCCATTTCCAGCGTCTTCAAAGACGGATGCGAGTGCAGCGCATCGAACATCGTGACGCTGAGAGCCTCGTGCAACTGGTTGGCACCAATGCCAAACGTTTCAATGACTGAATTGGCCAGCAATGTAGGTAATAACTCACTCAATTGCTCACCCAGCTTGTTGTTGAACAGGTGAAGCTGCGTGAGCGACTGAGCCTTGAGTAACGGCGTCATACCGACACTGGTAAGTCCGTTGTTGCCCATATCCAGGTACGTCAGTGTCGTGTTATTCGCCTCCAACACATCAGCAAGAAGCACAGCGCCTTCATCCAGACACTTGTTGTTGTTGATACGCAGAGTCTGCAGCGTCTTGTTCTCACGAAGACCTTCAGCCAGTGAAGCACACGCACTCGGTGTCAACTCATTGTCCGACAAATCGATCTCCATCAACGCCGTATTCTGCTTTAAAGCATCGGATAGAGCAGCTACATGCTGATCCCGTAACTTGCACTCCTTAAGCTGTAACTTCGTCACCGACTTGTTCTTCGCCAGCGCATTAAAGAACGTTGACGTTGCGCTCTCCAGTGCGTTAAACGACAATTGAATCGTCGATAACGAGCAGCTCTCGCTCTCCACAAGAGCAGCCAAGTGGTCGAGTCCAGCACCTGAAATCCCGACCACCGTCACATTCAACTCCTTGACTCCCGACTGAGAGTTCTCCCTCAATCCCTTAGATAGTTTCTCGACTCCTTCGTCTCCAATCTGGTTACGGGATAGCGATACAGTCGTTAACGACTTGTTAGTCTTCAGCAGCTCCGCGATAGCCGCAGCGCCGTTCACGCCAAGCGACTTGAACTCCAAGTCCCAGTTCTGGAGTCCCGACTGGGCATTGCGAGCCAAACCAGCACATAGAACTTGCACAGCTTCATCTCCGAGCTTCTCCGAACCGAGACTCAAGTGCTTAAGCGTCGTGTTTACAGCCAAACAATCGGCAAAGGCCTGTAGTCCAAGGGGTCCCACCTGGTGACCGGACAGATAAAGCTCTTCCAGTAAAGTGTTGCTGCTGATGGACGAGGCCAATTTGACAAAATCCGAGTCGCTGATGGAGCGTGTGCTCATCACATAGAGGCTCTTGGCCGTCTTGGGGTTCGTGAGCTTCTGCAGCAGGTCATCCACGCCAGCTTTCTTACCCCACGCCATGCTTGCTACAGTTGTGACGGCACCAGTCAATTATTGAACGGTTGAAGAGCAGAAGCGATTTGACAGTTGAATGCCGTAAGAGCATATGTGACGTGTGAACCTGTGACTTGTGAAAATCGCAGTAATCAGACCCTGAACTGATTCAGAATGCCCCAGTTGAAGTGACTAATTCTATGGGCTCTTCCTGTCGGAGCCTGACGGGCTACGCGCGACTCGTTAACGTAGGTATCCGAGAGCATGTATAGATTATAGTGTAGACTATCGCCTAGAGCTCATCAATTGCGGTAGGCTCGGCAACCCGAGTCGACTGTCTGCTTTTCGATGTACCACAGTCCTCGCGTCATCTTGACGCGCACTTGTCCTTCCATTTCCTGTCCGCCGCAATGAGCCAACCGAAGACAGCGAAGCCAACTTTCTAGCTGGCTCAGCCACTTGCGAACTCGACGTCAATCACGACATGAGCCCAGGGCCTTCGAACAGTGTTCGTATTGAAGAAATACGTCCAGAGATGGCTGAAGGCACGTCCCCCGTTCTCCACTTTCCGATATCGCCAGGGTGTTTCCATCCGACGGGAGCTAAGCGCCAGGAATTCGCCGACATCGTGCGAGAACGTGTCGACTCTCTGCTCATTGACGAACAGCACTACTCAGAGCGTCGAAACCGACGACTTCCACCGTTCGATACACGGGAGTGGAAACAGGTGCAAACGAGCAAAGAGCTTCGGTTCTTTAAACGAGTTCGTGGAGGTCGAACGCTGGATCAATTGTCGAGCGAGGAAACTCACCCGGACATCAGACAAGCGGTGGAAAATGGGTACTCGACTATGCTCTGCGACGGACAAGTACGAGGATCGATGGAGGACATGATGTACGGGATGACAGCTTCTTCTCAAGAGGACTTGATGACTGGTTTCTCGTATAAGAACGCTCCAAAGGACTGTGTGTGGTTGGGCACTGCCGAAGGACCCACTTCCGACGACCCATTTCGCTCTGCTGACTTCATTTGGGCATTCCCGAAGCTACCGGCATACTCTGTCGATATCTGCTACCTGAAAGCCACAGGTGTCGAAAAAGATCGAGACGGGAAACGCTACGGATATTTGGTTCTACATTCGGTAGATTTGCCACAATGCCGTCCATTTGAAGCTCGAGGCGTCACGAGAGCGAAGATGTACTTCGCTTGTCTCTTTCGAGAGGTTACTCCCGGGTATCTGAACGTGACGGTGCGCGGCATTTTCAACTTGGGGAAAAGACCCGGCAAAATTGCCAAGAAGTTAGTCGCGGCTGCAACCAAGTCCTTCATGATCGGTTTTCTCAACGGCGAAGGGATCGGATTAGCCAAGAAACTCACCATTATGGCACGTCGTAACAGAGATCCCCTTCGAATCCACAAGCAGTCCGAGTGCTCCATCTGCTTCAAGACGAAGAGGAAATTGCTCTTCGGCTTGAACACGCATTTATTCCAGTGTGGCGTGTGTGGAGTCACGGCTTGTTCAAACTGTATAGCAAATACCAAGCAGATTCTCTTCTTGGGTTTGGATGCCCCACGCTCAAAACGACCGTGTTGCTTAACCTGTATGCAAGACGCTCGGGTTACGTGGGGAGTTCTCCCAGGAGAGCCGGAATTCCAATTTATCTCCGACTTCTATCTGCGTCGACGTACGCGCTCAGTATTGTCGCCAAGTAGTCCCGTTTCAGGAGGTTTCCGCTCTCCGTTGCCCGAGATTTACCCGCTCGACACGATGACTCGCAATCGAAGCAGTAGACGTCGATCTGCCTTCAAGTCGAGTTTGTCCGCAGACTTGCGGACCATTTCCACGGCTGACGAAAGTTTAGACACGGACCCGTTCTCGAGAGAGCTGGATGAAGCGGATTTCTGCTTCAGCGACGAAGAATCCAATAGCTCCATCGTGGCCCAACCGGATCCGAGTCCTGTCATGTCCAGCGACTCGGACAAGAGCACATTGACGCTTTGGACTGGGGCGCATCGACTACACACGGACGACTTCATACCCGCCAGTAGAAAATCTCCACCGCGCTCAGAGTTTGAGGTGATGCAGACTCTATTTCAGCTCAATGTCAAGGCCGAGAACACGTACATTCAGACACAAGTTACAGCGAGAGGACTTCGTGGGGCTGAGCTCGATTGACATCGTGCAAATGGTGTGAATACTATTTTTTTAAGACTTAACTGTAGGTAAGAAATTATGAATTTGACACGTGAATGTTTATCGATGGTTATCGATATTGACGACAAGGAATAAATGTAACATGAACATTGATATTCACTCTCAGTTTCAAGCAGCGGCGACACCAGGCGTGGGCTCGACGGTGACCTTCATTCCGTACTTCATGCCGAGACTGATGCCCATAGTGCCGCGAATGTCCTGCCCGGGCACTTCCACCAAGTGGAAGCGGCTCACCAGACACGCCGTCACGACCTTCATCTCGATCATTGCGAGCTGCCGTCCCACACATTTGCGCGGTCCAGCACTGAAGGCAATGAACTTCAGCGGTGGCAGCACGATAAGCTTGTCATTCTCATCCAGGAATCGCTCGGGGTTGAATTCAGCAGCATCCGGGCCCCACACACTCGGCAATAGAGCCGACGCATGATACAACAACGTCGTGTCGGTGCCCTTAGCGACAAAAGTGCCGTCAGGGAACACCGTGTCTTGAGTACAGTGTTGCGTGACGCACGGAGCCGGTGGCTTAAGACGCAAACTCTCGCGAATTGTGGCCTCCAAGTAGGCCACGGCGTCTAGTTCTTCCATAGATGGCACGTAACTCTCATCCACCGCCAGCTTGGGGATCTTGGCGAGCAATTCCGCCCGCAATTTGTTCTCAACTCTGGGATTTTCATGCAACAAGTGCATCAGCCAACTTGTTGCATCTCCCGTTGTGTCTTTGCCAGCCAACACTCCGGCAAGGGAAATGTTGTACACATCTTGAGGCAGCACTGGCTCGCCCGTCGTGTCTTCACTGTCAAGCAAGATGGACACGATGTCTTTTGCCACTGGTCCCAATGGTTCTCCACGAGCTGCAGCTTCTTGTCGCTGTTTCCGACGCTCGATCGCTCCCGAGATGCAGCCCATGACAAAAGTTGATATCGCCTCCATATCTTGCCGTAGTCGACGTTCGGAGCCAACGTTGAGCCAGCGTTTCAGTTTCCAGACCCACATGGGGACGGCAAACCTCTCCAATGAAATGTGGTTGGCATCATCGATCGCCGTCTCGAACGCGTGGTCTTTGCCGGATTCCAGCAGCCCCAACTGAGCACCAAACTCGATCTCTGCGAACGTTTCGAGCGTGAACCGCCCCATGATATGATGCACATCAAGCACACCGTCCTCCTTGGCAGCCTTAGCAAACACGCGTTGCAACGCCAAGGCACACTTTTGCACGATCGGAGTCATGTGGTCACGCAGCGCTTTGGCCGTGAACAAGTTGACGAGAGCTTTGCGCTGGAATTTCCAGCGATGGCCATTGATAATGACAATGTTCTCCCCCATAAAGTCATCGAGCAGTTCTCGCACTTGGGGTCCTTTGATAAACGTGTCAAAGTGCACTTTGAGAATTTGCTCGAAATCTTCAGGTCGAGCCGAGAACAGCCAGTCGTTCTTGCCCGGTTGACGCAGTACGAACGGTTCTCCATTGCGAGCAACACTGGTTTCGACCAACCAGTCCTGGAATCGATCGAGGTTGCGAGCCATGAGCAGCGTGTGGCCCAGTATCGGGTGCCCACCGGGCAGATACGGGATCGGTTTGACTTTCTCTTCGTCATCGTCCGAGTCGATTGCGTAGCTGTTGGAGATCGACAAGAGTGTGGCGCCTGCAGCTGCGACGAGCAGCCCAACGACGACCGGATGCGTGAGTATGTTCGATAGAGACAACATCGCAGTTGGCTGCAGGAGGCACGTACAGGAATGAGCAGTGGCAAAGGCTTCATCGGCTTCGACGTTTTGATGGCGCTAGGTCGGGGGAGGAGCAGGACTCGAGGTTGACGGCACACAAACTTTTCCCGCCTGTGCCACTATCGAGTTCGAGGAAGGGTGCATTGACAACTGATGTCCTCGAAGAGTATGATAGCTTGGAGGGGGATGAAGACCAATGTCAATAAGTTGACACTCGCTTTACTGCGCCATGATGGACTTGCAAGCTCCAATCCGTCGAGAAGAAGAGTTATATAATTATTATATTATTAATAGAAAGTATATTATAATAAACATCATTCTCTATGAGAGTTTTATTGCTCCACCGAAATAGTCAATCTCGCGTCTTTTTTTTTCATTCGCGGAATTGAAATGTAATGTGGCAGCGGAGTCGAAGTTGAAGCTCCCGACGCCGCGATCTACTCGGCGAGCTGCCAATGTATCGAGACTTACATATTAGCCCTTTGTCGACGCGGAAAAGATAGGGATAGTGCGTGGTGTTGGTCAGCTACATGTCAGATAGCTAAGATACAGGGATCGGCATCCCAAACGTTGTTTTCGTATACACAAAGACCTCTACCAGTGATAATTCAAAGCGCTTCAACTTAAGTACAACTTCAGATCGTCGCCGTTTACGGCGAATACCAATTGCATCAACAAGCTAACACGTTGGCAATAACTGGCAAATACGCCTCCCCACGGCTTGCATGAGCAGGGAAAGTGAGTTGGCAACCGTTTACTTGCCTGGCTTGCCACCGGGGTTTCTGCAAAATACTCCATGGCAAGACAGAAGACGCAATGCGTTGCTCAAAACTCGTGAACACCTTCTTTGCGTGTTGACTGCAACTCGCATGCCACTTCGGAGCACCTGCGCCGCCTTGTAGTGACGATAGTGGGATGCAGCAATGCCTGCAATGCCGGCAAGATGCAAGCCACGGTCTCATCTGGCGTCGTCAGCGGCAAAAAACGCAGCGACCAACGCCCGCAATCCTTGACAGATCCAGGGGCGGCATTCCTCGCTCCATTTCACTGCCCACATCGCAATTTTCCACGTCGGGGAACAAGTTTCGAATCCTGCCAACATGCTGCGTCGTTGGTTAGCCAAGCATCGCGCTCTATCACCTCTCGGTCCTGCTGGTCTCGTGCTACTCGCCGGAGCTGCTGCTGTCGCCGCTTACGTTGCCACTCGGTCGAGTGAAAATGACGTCAAAGTCGACTCTTCCGAGGAAGAATGCACCATTGACAACCCCAAGGTGGTGCCCTATCTGCCGTCCAAGGTGCCAATCATCGGCAACATGCTGCAACTGGCCTCCAACGCTCATCGTTTCCATGACTGGATGGCGGAGCAATGCATTGCAAATAACGGTGTGTTCAAGCTGTATCTACCCGGTCAGAGTGATATGCTGGTCACTGCTGTGCCGGAACACTACGAGCACGTGGTCAAGACGCAGTTCGACCACTTTAGCAAGGGCCACCAGCAGTACGACATGTTCGTGGACCTCATGGGGCACAGTGTCCTCATCATTGAAGGCGAGCGCTGGAAATACCACCGTCGACTGCTTGTTCGGCTTTTCAGTGCTCGGGCACTGCGTGAACACATGACACCAGTGATCCAACGACACACACTGTTGTTGCAAAAAGTGTTGGTCAAAGCTGCAGTTGCCAAGAAACCAGTTGACCTGTACATGCTCATGCACCGCTTCACCTTCAAGGCGTTCGCTGAGATGGTGTTTAACAACACACTGGACAGCATCGACTCGGAGCACGAGCATCCGTTCGAACAAGCTTTCGACGAGGCCCAGTCCATAGTTGCCGGTCGGCTTCAACAGCCAGTCTGGTTCTGGAAACTCAAACGTTGGATGAACGTTGGTCAGGAACGCAAACTTCGCCAAGATGTCGAACTTATCGACAACTTTATCATGAAAATCATCTCAACGGCAATCGAAACGCGTCGCCAGCGCCAAGGAGACCTGAAAGCTGGCAAACCGGTGAAGAAAGCTGACACTGATATTGTGTCTATCGTTCTCGAGTGCATGGAGCAGGATGGCGACATGGTATCGCCGATGGATGTTCGTAACATCGCAGTTGCCGCTTTGGGCGCTGGTCGCGACACTTCTGCCGATGCCATGAGCTGGTTATTCCACACACTGACGCAACACCCGCAAGTCGAGAACAAACTCCGCACCGAATTATTTGAGAAAATACCCAAACTCACAATGAGCTCCACGTACGTGCCGTCAATGGACGAAGTGCAAGGCTTAGTGTACCTCGAAGCGACGATCCGTGAGCTTTTGCGTCTCCAGACTCCAGTGCCGTTCACTATGAGGGAATGCGTACACGACACAGTCTTCTCAGACGGTACGTTTGTACCTAAGGGGACGAACGTTGGCATGTGTCACTTCGGAGCGGCTCGACGCACGGAAGTGTGGGGTTCTGACGCCACCGAATTCAAACCGGAACGCTTCATTGACCCCGAAACTGGCAAATTGTTGCAAACCCCAGCAGCCAAAAACAACGCCTTCAGCGGTGGCCAACGTGTTTGTGTCGGCAAAGCTCTCGCTATGCTGGAGATGAAGCTGGTGATTGCCACACTCGTCAGCCGTTTCCACTTCACGGAGATCCCAGGACAAAATGTGCAATATGCTATGGGAATCACTATCGGCATGAGAAACTCGCTCATGATGAACATCCAAACCGTAACCAGTGGAGGTCCGGGAGCTGCCGCATAGGCACTGAGCATGCTGTTCTTATTTTTGAAGTTTAATTTTTATTTTGTTATGTTGCACTGGTATTTTTTGTAATTACAAAGATTTTTTTTTACACAAGATGTTTAATTAAACGTACACGACTATCACTACACTTTTTGATAAAACACTTTGAACAACTTTTTTATTTCTCTCAATACCGTCGTCCGCGCCGCATGCTGATCGTTGTCTCCTGCGTCTGTGCGTAGGTCTGCTCTGCCTGGATATTTAGTTCTAAAAGTCTTCGTTCCATCTGCATGGCGTTATATAACCTGTCGGCACCAGTTGAAGGGATAAAGTCGTCGTCGTCCACACTGATCCGGTGGCCCCAGACCTTAATTTCACTCGAAAACGACCCAGCTTCAGCCTCAGGACTTGAATCCGGTTCTTTGTTTTCCACGTCTTCAATAGAACTGCGACGGAGCTCCGGTAAAGTCAGTGCAATTGAAAAAGGGTCATCGTCAAAGTCGAGTTGGTACTCGCCCACACTCTCGTCCGTCGTTGAGGCCGTTGGTATTCCCGCTGAGGAGTTTGTCTTCATCCCCTCATTTCGCGGAAGTTCTCCTAGAATCTCTGGCGATGCCACTGAGCGTTGGTTGAGGTAAAACTCGGCCACAACCAGAAATTCTGGCTCTGCAGGCCGCACATGGATCGTCGTCACTGCTTCACGCACGCAATTTGGACAACAGTCGACTTTGGAACACGGATGGTTGGCTCCAAGGAATACTCGTTGCTTAACCATACAATTAGAGCACACAGTCCCTCCACACACGTAACAAGTGACGAGATATGTCCCGAACATTTTGGAACGACTGAGAAACGATGCACGTTTGCAGCACATGTAGCACAGTGACTGTTTCGGAATGTTGAGAGGGTCGTGGGGTCTGCTGCGATTGCGTTTCGCTAAAAGTGTGAGTTTCTTGGCTTCTCCGATCCCGACTCCATTGAAAAGTCCGACCATGATCGACGTCGTAGCGGCAGAAACCAGTCCTTTCAACATCCTCACCTTTTTACTAAGATCGAAAATGCCACGCACCGTCACTTTTAACACTCCAGCTTGTGGTTCCCGAAACAAACAGGCAAAGTACATTTTCGCGCGGGAAATTCCGTGCGCTGCAAATGGAGGACACTGGGCAACATGCACGCCATGCAACACCATGTATCCATATTTCCCCCCCTTTGCATCCTTTTCCACCCCGGTTGCCTTGAGATAGCAGACATCCACCTGGTCGAGAACTGGCGGGAGTTTGGGAAGTGCCCAAATCAAATCTGCGGTATGAAATGGGTCCTCAGGCGTGGGGGTTTCCACTGTGCCAAGCCACACACAGTCCTTCGGTGGATCTTTGAACGAAAACCCCGTCATTAAATCGTCTTGAGACGACGCTGTCATCCCGTACATCATGTCCTCGATCGTCCCCTTCATGAACCCGTCACAGATCATACTCGTGTAGCCTCGTTCGACTGCTCGTTGGATCTCTGGAAGCTCCTCCTCAAGTGCCAATTCCCGCAGTGAACGACCCCGTTGCAGTCGTCGATAGAACGTCAAATCCTTCTCTTTTTTCACTTGTTTCCACTCTCCGGCATGGAGAAACGGGTCGTTGCGAGCTCGACGTTCCGCGTAGAAAGCTTCATCTCTTAATAAAGAGTCCACCCGACCCCGAATTAGTGTGGTATATCTCAATCTGTCAGCATCAGTAGCTTGGTAGCAACCAGGGGATAAAGGAACCCCAACAGGTCGCAGCTCCGGCTGCGCTGCGTGAAGCACCCAGGTCTCCATTGGTCGTGGACTGGGAGTCATCTCGTCGAGTTGGGGAGTGAGTCGGAGGTAGTCGCCACCAGATCAACGGGAAGGGACCAGTCGGATGACGCGAGTTAATGTGGCACTCCGTCCGCGGTACATTAGCGATCGACATGGTAAACGGGACGTCGTGCTATGCTGGACAGGGACCTGTACGCAAGTGCGGAGTCAGATCGACATAACAAAGCGTTCAACCGAGTCACACTGGACAAGGATAGCAAGGTTGTGTACGTACATGTATTTAGCGTTGCTGAGCTGAAGTCGTTAATGAGAATCGGTCTGGATCGACAACTTCAATGTACTTTATGGTATCAGATACAGTCCAGGAGCATGCAACATCAACTACTGCTTACCGCTACATGCCTACGAGTACCGCAAGGATTTCTTCATGAGTCGTTCATTGGCCTTTGCAGTGACGTAGGCTTCCTCCGCCGACGACTGCAGCTCCAGCATCCACTCGAACATGTTGTCGGGTCTCCGTTTCGACGCCGTCCGGCAAAAGACGACAGGCTGGGCTGTCTCCTCTGTCACGTCGTCCAGCTCTGCCAACATATCAGCGGAGATCTTGGGTCCTGACTCAGGTTCTTCATCAAAACTCTCGCCATATTTGAACCGATACTCACTGGAGTTCCGGTCACTCGAAAAGCTCACGCCAAAGTCGAAACTGGCACAACTGTCCCCGACCGTGGAGCTGGTCACCGAGGTGGATTTACCAGCGTCATCGAGCGACCCAGTGTCGTTGTCACGTTCTACTGAACTTTGCTGAGCCTCCCGGGCTGAAGCTTCCAACGAACGTGTCGACAGCGTTGCCGTCGGCGCTGAGCGTCCAGATGACACGGAGGATGACGTTACACGGTTCTTGCTGTAAAACTCAGCCGTGACAAGGAACTCAGGTTCACCAAGACGCACGCCCGTGATGCCTTTCGCCTGCTGGCAACAGGTAGCGCAGCACACGGCGTCGCGACTCGGATACTTCGTTCCAGTGAAAATGCGTTTGTCTTTGATCCTGCAGTTTTTGCAGATGGGGACGCCACACACGTCGCACGAGCGCAAACGTACATGTAGCATCCCTTTGTTCCCTCGAATGCACATGGAGCACACGCTCTTCTTCGTTAACGTGTTGAAGTGTCTGCGTTCGTCGTAGTGTCTAAAGGCCAATACCGTGAGTTTCTTGGCTTCACCGCAACTTGCGCCTTTGAGAATTGCAGTGATAAGCGCAGTTGTTGCATGTGGCAAAACGAACTTGAGCAGCTCTCCACCTACCAAGTCATAGACACCACGTCCGATTACATCCACGTTTCCTGGCGTAGTTTCTCGAAACAGGAACGAGAAGAACATCTTGGCACGAAGAACTTTCGTTCGGCGATAATCGAATGGTGGACACTCCGGTATATCCACGGAATGCACCACCAAATAGCCGTACGGCTTCCCGTTTCCATCCGTTCCCATCCCCGTAGCTTTGAGATAGCAAACATCTCTCGGATTGATAATGGGCATCTTGGATAGCACCCACAGGAGATCCGCAGAGCGGAGTGGGTCCTCAACGGTAGATTTCTCCACGTTACTCAGCAGCACTGCGTCGTGGGGCGGGTGGGTGATCGCCAACCCCGTCATCGTCTCCTCTTGGGTAGTGGTACTCATTCCGTAGAGCATATCCTCAATTGTTCCACTCACCGACCCGTTCGTTAACATACTCGGGTTTCCACGTTCCACTGCGATCGCCGCTTCCGGGAACTCTTCCTCAGCCGCCACCTCCTGTCTCGATCGACCGCGAAGACGTCGCTGGTACACTTTCAAGTCGCCCATACGCCGGAAAAATTTCCACTCCGTCGTCTGTATCAAAGGCTGTTGCTGTGCCTGTCGCTCTGCGTAGCGATACTCGTCCGCTAGTAGGGCGTTCACATGGCGTCGTACGATGTCATTGCATTCCTCGCGCTTGAACGGAGAGACTTGGACGTTGCCAAAGTAACCTGCAGGTAACGGGAAGTGCATCGTGCTTGGCACCTCGTTGAGGGTGTAGCTGTGTGAGGCAACGGAGCTGGAAACCGGACTGGACGGCATATGCCAATGGAGGAAAGTTCGTGAGTGAGCGGAGACTTTGCAAAGTCTCACGTGGCGTTGGAGATTATTGCAGCGACAGCCACAAAGATGAAACCACGCTCTCGACATCGAGTCAAGGCACGACAGTCACCGCAATTTTGGGTTGCAGTGGATCATCTGAAAAAGGGGTCAGTGCGAATCAGCACGCCAAGGCAGTCGCCGTTTGTAGGCGTGCGCCTCACTGACGGCATCTTGAGCTCTGGCACCACTCCAGTGACTCCAGTGAGTGGTGCCAGAGCTCAAGATGTCGTAGTGGATAGGTGGACCGATAGTGTCCTTCTAATACAGCCTGTCAAAAAATGGTTACGAATGGATTTTCAAACGCGGGAAAATGGATACATGCTAAATTCACCCTAATCTACCCTTAAAAAATTGGATGCCTGTATCTTCAAAAACTTTATTTTTTCGACAAGAAATGTTTCTCCTAAGAAATAATCCAAACAAAACACATCGCATAACCTACGGAAATTGTCAATTTCTTTTTTTCCTCCCACTTAGTAAATCGGACTACATGTCACCGTAAATATGGGTCCTGAGTTCATCTGATTTATTTCGCAGAGTATCGGGGAGCTCTGTACCATTAGCCGCCACTACCCGTCGCACTCCATGCGCTGCTTCTCGTGCTTCTACAGGTGCTTCGGACGCGACGAATCGCTGTCCACGCCCAAGGGCGATGCGCCCACCACCGTCACAGCCACCACCGTGGTGGAAGAAACGTCCGTCGCTGCTTCACCGCAAGGCAAAGGGAAAGTGACGGACTCGTACACCTTGGGCAAAGTCATCGGCTCTGGGTCATACTCGGTCGTGCGCGAGAGTGTCCACAAGAAGAGCAAGCACAAGTTCGCCATCAAGTGCATTAAGCGCTCGGAGCTCTCGACCGAGGACGACGAAGCCATTCAATTCGAGGTTTCCATCCTCCAACAGATGAAGCACCCGCACATTATGACTCTTGAGGAGTTTTTCGTCGAGCCCGACTACTACTACCTCGTCACGGAGTTCGTGGGAGGTGGCGAACTCTTCGACCGCATCGTGGAGAAAACGTTTTACACGGAAAAAGAGGCGCGCGACCTCGTCAAGATCCTCATCGACGCCATCAAGTACTGCCACGACCAGAACGTCGTGCACCGAGACCTCAAACCCGAGAACCTACTGCTCATGTCAGCAGACGACGACGCCAGTATTAAGCTGGCGGACTTTGGCTTTGCCAAGACAGTGACCAAAGACGATTCCGGGCTCGTGACCACGTGTGGCACACCTGGATACGTGGCTCCCGAGATCTTGGAAGGCGCGTCGTACGGCAAGCCCGTTGATATCTGGAGTATCGGCGTCATCACGTACATTTTGCTCTGTGGTTACCCTCCTTTCCACGACGACTCGCAGCCTGTTCTGTTCAAGAAGATCCGGAAGGGTAAATACTACTTCGACTCGCCGTATTGGGACAATGTATCCACTGACGCCAAGGAGTTTATCTCCAAGATGTTGGTGGTTAACCCCAAAGATCGCGCCTCGGCTGGAGAATTGCTGGAGCACAAGTGGATCACCGGAACGGACGTGGCCACTGTGCCACTGACCAGCGCACTGACCGAACTGAGACGCTTCCATGCGCGCAAGAAGTTCAAAGCGGCCGTGCATTCCGTGCAGGCCACGATCAGCATGAACAAGGCAATGTCGGGCCTGGGTACGTCCGCCAGGTACAGCAACTCGGCAGTGTCTCTCTAGATCGTAGCATTGATGACTTCTTGACGTACATTTTACGCTTAAGTTGCTGCAAGTTGCACACAAATTTATTCGCGTCAGTTTGGATTTGCCTCAACTCGTTTTCGCTTTGTTGCCAGTGAGATGCAGAGCGTCCAGCAGATTTTCCCTGAACGAGCCGAGTTTGTACGGGTTAAAGTTGACGTCTTCCACTGAGAAACTCTCTTCGGTGTTCATGATGGAGTCGGGAGAGAAAAGACCGCCCCAAGACGCATCTAACGTTTTTTTCTGCTCGCGACGTGGCACCGTTAACTTCGGGCGCTTGCGGAAGTTCAGGCGCTTGAAGAGGAAACGGAACATCCGGCGTCCGGACGTCTCTCCGTCGAGTTCTGCTTCTTCACGCAGGTCTTCACGCTTGAATGATTCGTTCGCTGTTTCGTTCTGTGCGATGCGTTTTAGTTGCATTAAGATGAAAACCCAGAGGATGATACTGATCAGGAGACACATAGCGGTGACGAAGCCCAGGGCTTGGTTATTCTGTAGATTCGTGAAGGTTAGATCTATTCCTTTGTGCAGGTCGCAACGAAGAGCATACACGTACTGCAATGAATGACTGCATGATTTTAGCAGTCTCCGCTCTGCCGACCTGTTCCATTGTTACACCGCGAGCATGAAAGAGATCATCGGTCTGTGGTGTAGTCATCATAAAGTGGCATTAGTATTCCGGATCATTTCGATAATAATAGCCGAAAGTACCTGGGTGAAGAACACACTGGTTGAGACGAAGAAGCCCTCAAGACAAACAGCTAGCTGGACCTAGGATGAAACAGTGGAAGCAAGTATTGAGTACGAGATTGTATTGTATCTGAATCATTGCGAACTTACCAGCAAATACGTCAGGAAGTACTTGTAGTTCTTCTCGCCAACGCAACCATTGAACCAAACTTCAGATTACGCGATGGACATCAGGTAAGTTTTTTTTGTTTTTTTTTTGCAACGACACACAACGAAATAGTCGACACTCACTGCAACTGCACAATACAACAATGCGCAGTTGTTAGAGCAAAATTCAGTTCGTGGAAATAATAGTTAGCACGCACTGATGGTCGAATCTGGCGACGCAGTGATTGCACAACCGGCAATGCTTGGATCGCGGCAACCTGCGTCACTCATAATACCACAATAAGCTTCCACCTCCCCAGTTTTCCAACGTAGTCAACCTACTTAAGCGTCTTGCAAGTGCGGCAGTATTTCCCCTCCGGATACAGTACCGGGTGGTTCACATACTGCTGGAACTCGTCGATATTGTCGCGTCGGATCACCCCGGGGTCGCTCCTGCACATGATCAGGTAGAGTGCGATGGTCGCCACGAACAGAACCGTTGCCAGCCACCTGCAGTAGAAGTGACCTCTCAGATAGGATATTCACTACTGTCACTGCAGCAAGAAGCTCGTACTTGTGGTACCAGCCGACGTATTCGTTCGGCAGCAGTGGATGGGCCTCCCGCATGTACAGATAATAACACGAGCCCATGGCAACAAAGTAGAGAATCTAATAGCAACGAAATAGTTAAGCTACAGTAATTTACGGTCAAATAGAATAGAGCGTTGGCTACCTGCACGAGCGGATTCCTCTCGAAGAAGACATAGTCCCGCACTCGCACCAGCGCACCAAACATGCTGACAATGCTGAAGTATTTATTGTGCACGTTGTATCGATTGAGGAGCTACAGCATTCTTATTGGCTGAAAATGTGTTTTTACGAAGCACAAGTAAAACTTGAATGTGTACCAAATGATGGGTACATGCGATCCCAGGATCAAACTCCCCCTTCAGTCAGTGGAGAAGGATTTCGACCAAGGTAAGATCGCGCTTCAAGGCGCCACTTGACGTGCCTATAGCTCGTCTTCTACTGCGTCTCTAATGTTCGCGATTAGTGCTTTATAAAGCGTATTGTTTGACCCATTGACTCATACCTTTCTGTCCGTGTTTCATCCAGTAACCACTGCACAATCGACCATGGCGGACTCTGCGTACTCGTTCAGTCTGACGACCTTCAACCCGTCGGGCAAGTTGCTGCAGATCGAATATGCGCTCAACGCCGTTAATACTGGTGGCAAGACGTCGCTGGGCATTCGATGTACGCTTTTATCCGGTTGCAACACGCCTAAAATGACGCTGACAACTGCTATTCTGCTACGTTTTAGGCAAAAACGGCGTCGTGATCGCCACGGAGAAGAAGTTGCCGACAATTCTGGTGGATGAGGACTCGCACAAGAAGATCGCAGTGTTGTCTGAGCCCGCTGGTATCGTGTACAGCGGTCTAGGCCCCGACTATCGCGTGCTGGTCCGCAAAGCACGCAAGAAGGCGCAGACCTACTTCCAGAAGTACAAGGAGCACGCGCCCGCCAGTATTTTGGTGCGTGAGATCGCGGCAGTCATGCAGGAGTTCACGCAGTCCGGCGGCGTGCGTCCCTTTGGCGTGTCGATCCTGTACGCGGGCTACGATGACGACGGTCCGCAATTGTATCAGATTGATCCGTCTGGAGCTTATTTCGGCTGGAAGGCTACGGCTATTGGCAAGGACTCGGTCAGTGCCAAGACGTTCCTCGAACGGGTGAGTGATGGTGAAATGAAGAGTGTTGGTCTTTTGTTAAAACTAATTTTGACACGTTTAATTAGCGTTACAACGACGATTTGGAGATTGAAGACGCGATTCACACGGCGCTGCTGACGCTCCGTGAAGGATTCGAGGGCGAGATGGACGAGACCAACATTGAAGTGGGGATCATCAAGGAGGACAAGAAGTTCCACGTGCTGACACCTGCTGAGGTGAAGGATTACCTGGAGCAGGCGGAGTAAAATCGTTTTGGCCAATTTCAGCGTCGATGCTTTTAGTTTTACGCTGGCTAGAACTGGTTTTTTTTAGTGAATTGCTGACAGACAAGCATGCAGCTTACAGTAATAACACCAAGTTGCGAAGCTTGTAGAGTGTCCATGTTGTATTGTGTGGAAATCTAGCTGTTTGTCGCGTCTAATTGCTCGATGGAACTTGGTGAAAGGCAAAACCTGCGCCTTGGCCACCTAAGTGACCTACACAGTCAACGCGCAAGTTACGTTGGTAGGCAGCGCCAACGATGTTGAGTGCAGTGTAGAGCTCAAGCATCTGCGCCGATGTCATATCGAAGATCCCGTAAAGCAGGAGCTAGTATCATGCAGTAAAACCACGTTAAAACACCAAATTTACCAGCAATAAGTAGGCAACGTACCCGTTGGTCAGGAAAGAGCAGACACGACACTGTGAAGACAGCCGAGACGGCCCCACTGGCACCAATAGAGAACACTACACACACAATAATCAATAAACCATTCTCCACCCCACATTTCGACAGGTTTAAACGCTTACCTCCCCCGTTTCCTCGGAGTTTTGACACCAAAGCACTCAGTGCAGACGACGTCATTGCAGAAGTGAAATAGAGCGCCATAAACTTCTCAACTGACAGCAATTCAAGTCTGCGCCTTAAGCTGTTGTAGTTTTCCCTCACATAACCAGCGAATCTCGAGTTTGCCACCGCTCGATTGTACCATGCGCCAGAGTTATTGTTACTTGGCGCCAGTATATGGGGTCCAAATTCCCACAACATGAACATGTTGATGCCAAAATGCGGGAATGTGATGTGGCTGAATGCCGATGTTAGCAGCGTATGGAACCTTTTGCCATGCACTACAGCGTTGTAAGAACTGGCAAAGTGGCGCCACATGAACTGGTGCAGTCTCGCGTTCCGGAATGACACGCGCCACAATCCAAAGACCAGCGTGTTGGCTGCAATCAACGCTGCAACAGCTTTCTTGTTCGTGTCTTCATACCACTGCAACAATACGAAGTTCTTTAGTGACAAAATGATCGAATATCTTGTATCTGTCATGGTTATTCTCTTACTGGTTCATCGAACTGTCGTCCATTTCCACGGTAAAATAGCTCGTTCGCGTCTCCGTACAAATTTTTAATAGCCTCTTCGAGATTGATGCCTTGTTCTTGTTTGTTTACCGCGGAAGTGACGATGATTCCGCCTGATACGAGCCCCAAACTGGCAGTAAGTACGCGGTCGTGGCAACTCGCACGGTTGAGTAGCAGCGTCCTGTGCTGCTGCTGGCGAGCCACGGTGCGTAGCTCATTGCCGCGACGTGCGAGGGTATTCGCATGGGACGATCGTAGGAGAATATCGTTGCGAAAGGAAGTGCGCGCGCTGCGCAACCCGCCCGCAGCGCGAATCATTTGGGATGATGGCGAGAAGGCCAGGATGGCATTCAGACGAAAAAAAAAAAAAACATTAAAATGTTAATGTTTTTTTTCGTCTGAACGGCATCCCAGCCAATCAGCAAAGAAGCAGAACTTTTCGCACTCAACGACAACGAACTTGTCATAGAACTTTCGATCGCTTGCCGTTGGATGGCATTCAGACGAAAAAAACCCATTAAAATGTTAATGGGTTTTTTCGTCTGAATGGCATCCTAGCCAATCAACATGCGTAACGACGAATTTTAAGCACTAAGTTAATAGGGTTGTAAGCACTGACTAATCAGGATCCGTGCCGACGAGTATGTATGTATTACACAAGTACTTTTAATTAAAAGCTCATAAAAAAAATCTGTTAGAATTCCTTCTCAAGAGTAATATTGTATTTTAGAGTAAAAACCTATCTCTTAAATCATACCTCCCTTACTTCTTGCTAATCACATGGACCATCACTCCTGATGACACATTTGTTGCCTTTCTTGACAAACAACAAAAATCAGTTCCGCACGACATGGTCTCCTCTGCGTCCACTCTTGCGTTGTCGGCACCGCTTCCCTTTGTGACGCTCTCGGACGATGGCAGCTTTGAGATCGCACCCGAGGCAGTCACCTACCTACAGCAGATCCGAGGCGATATCGCCGTGGTGGCTATCGCTGGTCTCTACCGCACGGGCAAGTCGTACCTGCTAAACTTGCTGCTCGGAAGGGACCAGGAGAGCGAAATGTTCGACGTCGGAGCCACCGTGAACGCCTGTACCAAAGGAATCTGGATCTGGGGCCAACCAGCAGGCAGCCAGACCCGTCATCCGGCATTTAAACACCTCAGTAAAGACACCACTATCGTCTTCATGGACACGGAAGGTCTGGGCTCCACCCAACGCTCACAAACTCAGGACACGAGAATCTTCGCTTTGGCTCTGCTACTCTCCTCCACGTTCATCTATAACAGCCGAGGAGTCATCGATGCTAGTGCCATTGAGGACTTATCACTCGTGGTTAACTTAACTAAGTACATTCAAGCAAAGGCTCACAAGACGGAGACAGAGAACGGCAGTGAGCTGTCTGTGTTTTTTCCAGACTTTCTGTGGGTTGTGAGGGATTTCACGCTTCAATTGCAAGAGGACGGGAAGAAAGTGACGTCCAAAGATTATTTTGAAAGTGCATTAAAGCAACAGCCACCACTGACAGAGGAAGTGGTGCAGAAGAACAGAATTCGATCGCTCTTGTCGACGTTCTTCCCGTCCAGAGATTGTGTCACAATGGTGCGGCCGTTAAGTGACGAAGCGCTACTGAGAGACTTGATCCGACAGCCTTATGACTCGTTGAGACCAGAATTTCGGGAGCAGATGGAAGTGCTGAGAAATAAGTTATCGACTTTACTAAAGCCGAAGACGATGATGTCTAAAGTGCTGAATGGAGCGATGCTGCTGTCGCTGACCGAGAATTACGTTGCAGCTTTCAACAGCGGGTCTAGTCCAGTGATAACTTCGGTATGGGATCGGGTCTTGGAGTCTCAATGTGATCAGGCGTTGGAGTCGGCCAAACAGGTTTTCCAAGCCGCGATGGATGCTGCTATCACGGAAAAGACGAGTGAGTAGTGCGTATTTTACTTAAATTTGGTAGGCATATGACTAAACCGCAGATTATCTGTGTAGCTCCAGTGATGGTGAACCAAGTGATGCGTGCACGTCCACTTGAAGACGCTGAGTTGGCAATGATATACGAAACAGCTCGCGAGGCAGCAGAAAACGAATTGTTGCGCGAAGATATCACGTCGTACTCGTCTATTGAAGCGTACATGCTTCAACTCTCGGAGTATACTCTCGATATTTTGCAGAGCAAGTACACAGACAACGATGGAGCGTCGACTGCTTACAACAAAGACTTACTCCAGGAACTATACGTCTCCAAGAAGAAATCCATTGACGACTCAGCGTCGATCGCTGGAGACGGCACTCAGTATTTGCAAGACCAGTTGACATCCTCCCGAGATTTGTTGGAAGACATCGTGACTCAATACAATTCTCGAGCATTAGGACCCTGCAAGAGCTCGATCCTGAACAACTTTCTCGTCGAGAAGATGGTTGAGAGTATATTCGAGTGGGGCACTCAAGTGAAAACGGTGTTTCGCTCCAACGAGGCAAAACTCGTGAGTGACATCGCATCCACTCAGCAGAATTTGCGCTCGATTGAGGCGAAAGTTCGTGTAGCACAGGAGATGCTGAGTCAACAGAAAGAATCTTACGAAAAAGCTCTGCACTCGATCACCGAGCGCATAACAAGTGAACGATGCACTCTCCGCGATGAAATTGAGAGTAAGCTAGCGGAAATTGAGCGAACTCGTCTGCAAATCGAGCGATTGGGAGCACTTCATCAAGAGGCTTTGGATCGCTTAGACAAGCAGATTGAAGAAGCCAAGGAGGAGCGAAAGCGGCTCGAGACTAGTGTTCGTGATGCTGAAGCTCGTCGAGAAAGTGAACGCCAAGAAGCGCAGCGACAAATGCTAGAGAACGAACGCAGCTTTCACAACGAAGAGAAAAATTTACTGCAAGGTCAGCAGCAGTTTCTACATAAAGTCCTCGAGCTGGAACGACAACTCGGTGAACAAGATACCGACCACATTGCAGAGCTGTATCGTATTGAGAAGGAAAATCAGGATGAAATTTCAAAGTTGTCTCTCCAGCACCAAGACGAGCAGGAAGAGCTGAAGGAAAACGTAATTCGGGTAAGTACCCGCTATCAGGGAGCTACGTACTGGTACTAACTTGTTTTGGTTTGATTCAGGACATTCGAACTTTGAAAAACGAACAAGAAGAGGAGATTAGTGCACTTCAAAGTAAACTAGACGAGAAGAAGGCTCATGTTGCTTCGCTTCGTGAACAACTTGAACACAAGGAAACAGAGGCAGCTAGGAAAAAAGCAAAAGCCAGCCAACTTTTTGGTGGAGAGGAATGCATCGTCCAGTGAGAAAAATAAAAGCAAAAATCTGATGCATTTTTGATCTTATCCTTTTTTATAGCAAATTTCAGCTCTCAGAAATCGCAAGTGGGTTCGATCAAACTGACTTAAAGAAGTTGTACAGTGCCGCGTATCATCCGCAGACACAAGGAGCTCACAGACAAAGCAGACCATTGTACGTAAGCAGTGCAACAAGCAATATACAGGTATCCCGGTATTTTCTAGAAAAGAGGTGCTAAACCTCGGAGTTTATTTTTCCCAAACAATACTAAAAAAAATTACATTATTAGCAGGCGAGTTTCTGTCGACTTGCCATTTTTACTCCAACGCATCCAGCATTTCTGCTTTTACATGAAATCCCTGTTGTAAACGAGCTAGTTGTTCCTGATAGTTCGCTTCCACCTCCTCGAGACTACGACGCCTCTGCTCTTTTAGTAGCGCAATCTGTCTTTCCAGTGTTAAAGCATCTGCACTTGGTTCCGAGTTCTGAGACGACGTGCTCCCTTCTGACGTTGTTCTTTGCTCCCGACGCGGCGGTATTTTCACTGGCGATATAAATTCTTCACGAAGACAGTCAGACTGCATCGAGGCCTCCCACTTCGAAGCTTCATCCCCCCGAATCGGATTCATCTGCTTTGTCAATGTCTCCATCCTTTTAAGCAGATCAAGATGCAATGTTTCAATCTCCACGCTAGCATCACGTTCAAAGTGGCTACTCGGGTCCCACCGCAAATAGTAGTGCGTCCAGAATTTAAGCGACTTCATCGAGCAAGACGGTACGATCACATCTTCACATGGTGCTAAGGCTCCATAGCGACCAATCTCATCGCCATCGAATACAGCATCGGTATCTGAGGTATTCCAAAGACCATCGGACAACGGTGGGCGCTCCACTGGCATAAATAGAGACGTCAACGATGATCGAGACTTAGGCGTCGACGGCCTAGCAGCTTCATCTTCTGCGTTTCGACCAAAGAAAGACTGAGAACGAGGCGCAACTGCCGGAGAGGACGGGAAGCTGGATAAAACCGAAGGCTCCAATGGTTGCGGGAACGAGAAGCCTGTATCAAGATCGCGTACCAGTCTATGGTAGCACGATGGCTGAGGAATCTCCATATTCGACTCACTGCCACCATCCCAACTATCAAACTCGTCATTAAGCGATGAATCGTTACTGTCAGTACGTCGGCGTCGTTCACGCACAAGTTGATCATGGGTGGACTCTAAAGCAGCTTTCACTTCTGTATCTGTCGCATCAACTCTGGAGTTTGAAGGCGACGAAGCCACAGCAACTGTACTTTCGCATACTATCGACGTGGGACTAGAGCAAGCAGATCCATCCGATGCGTCAAAGGCATTCCTGCCATAGTCCAGATATTCATCCGCCAATGAGTGCACCTCACAATCTTCTTGGGTTATATGAGGAACCGACCGAGGCGATTCTTCGTACGACTGCCATAATGATCTCTCAAAGCACTGCCGTGTAGCTGTGACGTTCGCCTTCCACTTCATACGAGGAGCGTTCTGTGACTGGTAAAAAGGGTTCAGCACAATCGCGCGGTCTACCGTGCTGAGGTACGACCACAATGACTGCGTTGGGTGGAGAGATTCCTGCTCCATGCGCTCTCGTTGAGAGTTGTACAAGAACGTACCAAATCGACACGAGTACAGATGGTCGAGGATGAGGATCAGATAGCGCTCGTTGAACTCGAATGCGCTCGGAAACTGCGTCATAACTTGCCACACGCAGTCGATCCATTGCAGGAAAACCGGAGATGTTTCGTTGGTGTTGTTGCTGGCTCCGTGAGAAGTTCTATCGCGAAATTTGTGGCCAAAAGAGCACCATTCTTTCTCAATTAGTCGTTCGAAGCCGACTATCGTTCGATAGTAGGGATCAATCAGCAGTTCTGTCAACGCTGTAAGCTGCGCTGTTCGGTCCCACCCGTCACTGCAATGAATCAGTACACTGGACTTCTGTTCCTTCACAATACGCACAATTTCCACAGCCGAGTCCATTATTCGAGAGATGTGGTCCAACCAGCGAGTGGAAGCTAACTGATCCAGCCACTTGTCATTGTTTTGCTTTGTGGTGCATAGATCCATGAGCTTGTGGTAACTTTTACGCATCGTATGGATATTCTCAATCCCCATAAAAATCAACTTGCATTCCGTCAAAACGAGAGCCGCCTGCATCGTTTCCAAAAGCTGTTGGTGTCCACTGTCATCCGTGGCATTCGACTCATTCACATGCTGTACGTCTCCATTAATAGAGACTCCTGTTGCCGTCGATCCAGCAGAGATAGCAGCAGCTGCCGCGTTGTGCTCTGACGCAACCATGTCCGCATACTTCATTGAAGCTGTAGCGTGCCGCGTCTCATAGTGTTCTGTGAGCTCGTACCCTGCGCGACCCACAGTCTTCTGCGCTACAGCGTTCTTCCAGGGTCTTGCATCGATAATTACCAGCTTCGTTGAGGAAGGGTTTGCCGCTGCAATCGCCTGAATGAGGAATACATCCTTGTCACATTGTTTCTGTCCGAGCCCGACAAGTGGCTGGCTACTGCGACAGATCACCGCTCCAGTATGACGATCACGCCACGAGAGAACTGGAATTCGCCCCTTTGATCGAAATTTGGATGCCACTGCCAGCACACTATCGGACACAGAGGCTGGAACTGCCAGTATTGACGGGTACGTTGAGCATAATTCGTACTGCTCGTTGACGTAACTTAATCGCCATCGGTTCGTCGATGATGAGATGCCCAGTCGCTGAAATTCCGCCACTGCATCATAGATCCTCCAGCCATCCACTGCTCCATTAACACCATCGAATCTTTCCAGCGAAAACTTGGCAAACTCGTCCACTTTTCCTTCCGGTTCTCCTAGTGCATGTGTCCGCACGAGTGCAAAAGTGCGATCGAATTGACTAAACGTCTGCTTGGACACTAATCCTTCAAATATAAACTGTAAACGGCGGAAATCCTTGCCAACCACTTCAAGTAGTCCGCTGTCAGTCTCCACCATTTCCTTCCGCTTCACACGCTCGATAGTAACCAGCGGGATTGCCTGATATGCCACCAACGACTCAGTATGTAGGTCACTTGCATACGGCAACTCATCTTCTCGCGCATTATTCCTCACATTGGCGCCATGTGAATATCGTCCCGTAACAGCTTCGTCATCAACTGCGGGGCTAAATACAAGACGGTAATTCGTCACGTACAACCTGCCCGTATGCTCTATCCGTTCTAAAAATCTTACACGAACATTGTCATTTCTCACCAATACTGCCTCACCCGGCAGTGTCTGTAGGTATCCATTGTTACGTCCACTTGAGTAATCTGTATCTTCACTTCCCATTCTCTCATAACTGTCACTTGAAATCCCTCGAGAGAATGCAGGAGAACTCGACATTGGCATTTGTCGTCGTCCATTAGACGTGATGATGCCTCCTTCCATCGACCCAAAATCTATAGACCCTCTATATAGTGATGGTCGATAAGATTCGGCAGAGCCACTTCTCGATTTGTCTGCAATATGTGATTTCGATGCCCATCTCGTTGTGTCAGAAAACTGAAACCCTCCTCTAGTTGATCCCTCTCCAGTATCACTATGACGTCTGAGAGGTTGATAAGTCCGGGCCTTCTGTCTCTCCTGCACCATCTTGGCATGAGCTTTCTTCGCTGCTACGGAGCACTTGGCACACACGCGGACAGGAGTGACGAAGCCTGAATTGACCAGCGGCATCCTGGCAGACGAGCACGCGTCACAGAAGACGTTGCCGCAGCGACGGCAGTGGTGACGTCGCAGCATCAGCGAGAACGAGGCCTGGCAGCTGTAGCATTTCTCGGCCAGACTATCGGGCACCCAAGCCACGACGTGGCGGCGACGATGTCCTGGCGCAGACTTGGGCTGAGGATGAGGCTTGGACTGCGCAAGGTGCAACATCGGAGGGTGCATACGGGAGGTGCTGGAGGTGACGACAGGGGACACCTGGAGAGCTGGAGGGTCTCGTCGGGAAGGTAGCATGGGGATAGTGCATGAAGAAGGTTGGGTTGCGACTGGAATTGTGAAAGGTGATATTTTTGTACGATTTCAAAGTGATAATATTGAGTATCAAAGATGACAGGGATTGCTCAAGGTAGATTTGGTAATATTGTTTTTACATTATTAAGTTTAAAAAAATGGTATTTAACATCAATTATTTCATTTCTGCCTTAACAAAAAAAAAAATGGATGTTTTGCAGCCATTAAAATTGATCTTTATTTTATTATGGTGGGCCATAAGCTATGAGCAGTCAAGGCAACAACTTTTTTTCAGGAAAGTGCTCATAGCTTATGGCCCACCATAATAAAATAGGATCAAAAGTGGGCCGAAACCAATGCACTCTTTTTCGATACAAAGTACTTTTTTGGTGTCTAAACTTCTAAGTCAAGAACTTGGATGGCATTCAGACGAGAAAAAAAAAAAACATTAAAAATTTGGTGTGCACAACCGCAGTCAGCTCATCAATGGCTAAATGGAATGAGTGAAGGAGCAATACCCAATCGGCATGTCTTTGGCAAAGATGTTCTCAATGAATACGCTGAGCTGTTTGCTCCTCCAACTGTTTTGCGATTGCCAGCACATGATGCTCCGAGCCAGTAGGACGAAGAACATAAGTCATAACAGTACCAAATAACGAAAGTTGACATCCCAAAATATGCTTTTTTGCAATATTTTGCCAGACATCCGAAAGGAAATAGTTCTGGTCCAATTACTAGATGGTGGCGGGAAGGTTGGTGCTATTGTTACGGACAATGCTGGGCAAGGCGGCCGAGCACGCCATGTTCTCGCATTACGACGGCCTGGTATTAGTTACATGCGCTGTTTCGCTCATGATATTAATAATTTGGTAAAAGCAGTGTTAAGACGTGTTTTTAGCAAGTAGCAGCTGCGGTGAGATTCCTCAACTCTTCGTCGGAAAAGTGGTTAGTTCGAGCCAATAGAGCAAGGATAGCTCGATAAGGAAAGACTCCAGCTCCAGCTCTTTTTCCATTATGCCGTACCAGATGGAACTCTATGCAGAAGTACTTTGCATCTCTGCTACGCGTTAGATCGGCCTTCGAACATTTTTTGTACACGTACAGGAGCGATGACGAATTTCCCGACAAACTACAAGTATCGGGGAGGCAACCGTTTTGGAGTGAACTGAAGGATGCAGAAAAAGATCGTGCGTCCACTTTATATCGCATCTTTTAGATTGCAGCGGGATGAGAACACTTTTGGAGACGTATTGCGATCTTTCGGAGACATATTAAGGGTTGTACGGCTAGCAACTACTTAGAGCAGCTCGTCGAGTGCGTGGAAAGGTGATGGACTTCCTGTGAACAGATTCGTTTCATTTGGGTTATTTTCTACCAGGGCTCCCGAGAATCCAATACTCAAATTAATACATCATGTCGAAGGACAAAAAATAATTATTCAATAGTTCCATTAATTGGTGCCAATTCGTGCACGCACCTGCTCGACTGTGTTCCCGTCTCACAGCTCGCGGTTGTACTGCAGGCACATCAGCATCTCAAGCTTGGCAGGAGACTCTTTCGCAGGTTTGACAGCACTAACTTCACCGCCGAGAAGAAGCGCTCGCACTCGTTCGATGTCGGTGGGATGTACGCTACGTTCACAAAGTGAGAGCGCTTCAGTACCTTCGTCCTCTTGAATGCCGCTTTGACTATTGAGTCGTTACTGTCGTCTCGGGCTGGCGTTCTTTCCAGAATAGTCGCTCTAAACTTGGCACATGCCGACCTTTCGGCACTCGACAGCGCCTCTCTGCGCTGAATCTTGACGATACCTTGTTCTAAGTTGGAATAGGTACAGCCAGTCGTGTCTTGAGTGCTGGAAACTCCTTCACAACCTGGTCAAACAATCGACGTACTGCAGACAAAGTTAGCGTAGACTTCTGTAGCTCCTTCGTAACGCCCTCAAACTTCTCCAAGTCCTTCGCTAGCGACTTGACTCGCTCATGCTTAGCACGCCTCAGTAAGAGAGGCTGGACCTCGTGCTCTTCCAGAAAGTTGTGGCCCAGCTGGATAATAAATGGTAGGAGCGTCAGGTATCGCGCCACCATCTCATATTTGCTTGACCACCTGGTGTCGTTCTTCGACAGAGGTGACAGATGGGAGACGCGGCGAAGCAGATCCCTCCCCTTAATCATACGAAGCTTGGACATCAGGGTGTGGACCTTGGTAATAAGCTCGTCTTCGGTGTTGATGAAGTCCTTCACCGCCAGATTAAAGCGATGACTAGCGCATCCAATGAAGAGGATAGCGCTCTTCTTTCGGCCAATGCACTGGTTAACCGAACAGTTGCCCCCACCAGAAACTTGACTGCGCTCCAGGGTGTGTTGTAGCGTGTCAGGGTGTCGGCGATTAGGTCGTATTGACTTTGCGCGCTCAGATCTTCTTCTACTTCCACATGAGAGAACGCCAATAGTAGAAAGCGACGAGACGGGCACTCCAAATAATCAAAAAAACTCGATTGTGTTATTCGAACCGGTATTATCGGTACTACCGCCGTCAAATACCGCGATTATCGCGGCGTAGTGACGGCTACTGCTTGTCCAGCCGTCAATGACTAGGCCAAATGCAGGTGACAGCTCGCGGGCTACACGTTGTTCGAGCAGCTCAAAGATGAGCACGATGTATCTGACCAGGTTGTCTTCACACACTAGTGAGAGAGCTGCGTCTTGCTGAGTTAGCCGGCGCTCAACAAAGGTGAAGGGTAGGTGGTCGCACACGATCCACTCGATCCACCGGTACAGATCCCTCGTTCTCGTGCTCACTAGGTGTAGGCGTAGTGGATTCTGGTGGCGTGCTGCTTCAAGGGCTTCTTGCTCGTAGTCTTCGTGGTTGCGCCGCAGGTGGTTTAGCAGGTTTGTGTAACCGTTTCCCTTCTTGTACTGCTTGTCACAGGTGGTGCACTTAAAAAAAACCCACTGCCAACGTCAGTGAAGAGCATGGTGCAGATTTGGCTGCTTGTGAGGACCATGGTGGATAGGAGGAGGGAGAAGTTGGGCTGTTGTGGCGTGAAACAGGTAAATTTGAAAATGATGGATCTTCTGCTGCGTTTGACTAAAGTCTGTTCATTGGTGGTGGACGCTCAGAGGACATCGGTGGTTGATCTCGATAATTCAGGTGTAAATTATGTACAATTCAAAAATGAATTGAACCGACAGAATTAATAATTGAATTAAAGCATTTGAATGTATTTTAAATGGTATTATTTTCGGGAGCTCTGTTTTCTACACCCGTTATTGGCCAGCGATGCTCGCAAATTGCCTCACGCTATTCTGACCAAGGAGTACGATGTCTGCGAACTTGCTCTTTATTATTATCTTCGCTACATTAGCGAGGATGTAATCGGATTGCGCGGTGATATGTCAGCTTGGATAATTGGTCAGTACGGCAACGCTACGTCGGCGGACTTCAGTGATTCAATCATGAAATTCTGGACATACTTGCAGAGAAACAACCCTTCCGACAAATTGCCGTCGCTGGCGTTAACAACTTTATCGATAGCGGCGGATACAGCCACATGCGAACGCCTGTTTAATGAGCTGCGTCTCATTCACTCCCCAGGTCGAAATCAAACCCGCACCGAGAAAACCCTTAAAACAGCAAGTTATTAGGCAGCATGTTCGCAACCAAAACCGGATGAAGAGAGCTAAGAATCTATGACCAAGACCAAGGAGAAAGCGTTAGCCCCATTGAACCCAATAAAGCTTTTTAGTGTTGCTGCGCCACCATAGAGAGGTACAAGTGTCGAGTATCCAACGACGAGGCGCTAGCAACTAGTGATCGTGGGAACATAACACCACGATGTCGTGGTCTTTCGCAGTTGAAGCAAGCTGATTGGAGAATCCAAACACAGAGCATGATGAATATGTACACTACACCACGACATCGAGCATCTTCAAGTAGCGACCGAACACGAGTGCGCAACTCCGTTCGTCAGTCTACCACTGCACGAACAATCATATCCGATCGCGTCCAAGAACTGGATAGACACGCAAACACACTTGCCAGGCAGCTGTCGTACTGTGGAGCCGGGAGCCTCTCGGTTCTTCAATCGCCTCAAGACGAAGTTGCGGCCCTTCCAATACCACAGTTGCGCGACCTTGACGCCTCTTTTGCGATAACGGAGGGTGATGCTCAGGTAGAAATTCCCCAAACAGAAGACGAAATTGAAGAGGGCGATATAGACAGCGATGAAAGTTGTATAAGTGCATGGGAAAACGCTATCACAGACTCCCAGTTGTAATTGATGCTCAAGACTCTCTTCCAGCCAGACCAGATCTTGGCGCATACAAAGATGACATTTCGGTTGCCAGTCGCACAGAATTACCAAAAGAGCCCCAACTACCAGAAAGAAAAAAAAAACGCTACTTGGAATCAGAGCCCGGAAAGTGAAAATGCGTGAACTTTTCCCCGTAAACTAAGTTGTTTAACCAGTGAGAGCAACGTTCGTTTAATAGATCTGGTCGCCTTCCAGGGCTCGCAATCAGGTACCCAACGCGGGTAAATTGACTAGCCGTTCGGGTATACCCGACCTCGGGTGGGGTGCGGGTACCCGATGCTAACTATAGTTTTTGGGAGCGGTGATCTTAAATTAAAGTTAGGACAGCCTTCACAACTGCTGTCAGTGCTACATTGGGGCGAAATGGAGGGAACCGAGAGCACCGATACTCCAGATCCTCCATCCTGTGTGGTCTCTGATTGTGACATCGACGAAGCTAATGATGCAAAGCTGGTTAGTCAACGAGAGCTTAACCTGAATGACTTGAAATTGGAGATAAGTCGCATTTTGAATCAGCACAGAACTCGATTTTTCTTTACGTGACGATGCAAACTCGAAGGCTAGATGCTGGGAGCAGTTTCGCCACGTGTATGAAAAGAAGAAAGATGTTGATTTCATGGCTTGTAGTAACAGCTTTGTTTCCTGTAACTCATGTGTAAAGGTGTATGCATTCATCCCAGTAAATGGAACCAAAACATTAAACGAGCACATGAAGAAATGTACAAGTGCTCCAGCAAACACTGGGAGCTTAGTGCCGTTCTGGACAATGCTGAGGTGTCTACCGCTGATAAAAAAAAAGCGTGTTATCAAGGCTGTTGCGTACATGTGCTACACGGATATACGGCCGTTTAGCATAGTGTCAGGTGAAGGCTTCAGAGAATTTACTTCAATGATTTTTGATATCGGTTTACATTCGAAGCGATCGTGTGATATTCAACAATTACTACCTGCCCCCAGCACAGTGAGAAATAATGTCCAAAAGGAAGCAAAACGTTTTCGTATCAAGTTGCAATTCATTTGCCAGACTCATTTTCGTGATTGCTGTGCGGAGTTCACGACAGACTTATGGACCGATTCAATTAAAAACAAATCGTACATGTCGGTGACATTTCATTACATGACTGAATTGTTCAAGCTTCATGCTCGAACACTCCAAGTTAAAGAAGTTGAGGGTGTATCTCACTCAACCAAGTATCTTTTGAGTGTATTTAGGGAAGCTTTGTTGGATTTTGGGATTCACAACATCTCACTATGTAAAGTTGTTACCGATTGTGGATCCAATTTGTGCGGCCAAGAGGGCATTCCATCCGTCTACACATGGCTCCCATGTGCAAACCACAAAACTGCCACGGTAATCACAACCGTACTTTGAAAGACAGCGTCGACAGAACATGGGGTGGTTTCGTCACCATATCTTAAGATCTACGACGACGCCCCAGAAGTTTTCCAGCTACTGGATATATGCAAAGCTCTGGTTTCCTATTTCAAAAAAAGGAAACTGCGAAATAATCTGGAGAATACGCTAAAACAAGAAAATGTGAATCGTTGGAATTCTCAGCTACGACTTTTAGAGAGCATACTCAACTCTTTTGATGAAGCTACAAGTATATTAGCTGCGCGTGGCAAGTTAGCATACATCAGCTGCATCGATAAACCACTTTTGGAGGAACTCATCACATTCCTTCGCCCTTTCCGAGAGGCGACGCTGAAACTGGAGGGCTGGAAAGAACCTACGCTGGATCTAGTAGTACACGAACGCCACAATATTATCTGTCATCTTTCCCCACAAACCGAGCGGGTCATGGTAGATAAATCGACTCGTAAGTGCTGGAAGGGCCGTTTGCAATTGATAATCCCCAGAATATCGAGATAATTCCTCCAGACAGCAGCAACTTGGTGAAAATTAAAAAAAATAAACGATGCAGCTTCATTCGATGCCCAAATGAAAATTGGATTTGCACCATTACATGGCGGCTCTACTTGATCTACGCCAGAAGCGAAAACAAAAAATATTTGGAGTTTCGGTGACAGATATCAACAAGGCAAAAGACCAATTGGTAGCGATGATGAAAGTGCAGTCTGTAACCAGAGCAGCAGCTACCCGTTCTGTTCGCCGTGTAAACAAGAAGCGAAAGACGCCAAGGTCTTCATTCATTGTTGGAGCAGATAATTTGTGTTCGTCAGATGAGACCGGTGACGAAATTGTGGTAAGCGAGAACCTTGATGAACAGGATGAATTTGACAAGTACATGAGCTACACAGTTACAAAGGAAGAGAAAACTAGCTTCGACATCCTGCCGTGGTGGAATGTGACCGGAAAAATAGCGCACCCAAAGCTAGCAAATGTTGCGAGGTCTGTGCTGTGCATCCCAGCGTCTAGTGCAATATCAGAACGTAACTTCTCCAGTGCCGGGACCGTAATGTGTAAGTCGCGCAGTTCGATCGAGCCATCGGTACTTGACGATGTACTTGTCGTGAGATCAAGCAGAAATCTTGTGAACAAAGAAGAATAGCAGTCGAGAGGTACACTTAACTTGATTTGAATAAAATATTGCTCAATATTTAGAAAGGTGTATTGGATGCCTTGGATAAATTCACTGGCTTTGGCAAAATCACTGCTGGGTAGACCCGGGTACCCGAAGGGTCCTGTCGGGTGGATACGGGTACCCGAAATGCCTCGAGATGACATTCGGGTCGGGCGGGGTAACCCGAAGTCCGCCAATTGCGAGCCCTGTTGCCTTCATCCATCTATGAGAATACTTTGCCGAGCGCATTAAAATCCACACGGCAGAACCTCACGCGGAAGAGAACTTAAACCAATAGTCGTGAGCCAGTCATGAAAACCTGTGTTAACGGACATAAACATCCTGGTCACTTGATCTGTCCACGGCGTGGATGGTCACACAACACCGCTCGTCCACAAGCCACGATCCGCCCCATGTAAACCAAGAAGAGTAACTCTCCGAGCGACAGTAATCAGAGCTTCTTCCTGTCAATGCTTGCGTCATCGCTCTCTAGCCACATGATCATGTTTGCATGCGCTCTTGGGTGGCTTGGTTTTCGGCACGGCGACCTACCGACTGTCATGCGTGGTCGTCTGCGTGTTGTATGCACTTCTACGCGAACTGGGAGTGGTGGCAACCCACAGTGCCTGGACATGGATACATAGTGGACATTTCCTACGTCGCGTCGATGATTGCTGAGTGCTTTGCTGAAGCGCGACGATCACATTCCTGTTCTCTCTCCTCGGCTACTTCTTACATATTAAATCCAATTTTTACCAACCGTTTTTACGATATTAATGTAATTAATGTTTAATTAACCAACACTGAATTTCCATCACTGATATTGTCAGTGATGGAAATGCTTGTTACCACCCGTTACGGGAAGACGCGTCCCCAACTTGTCTCGTCTTGACGGAACTTTGACAGAATTTATTGGTCGTAATTTAAATTTTGTCTTACGACCAATAAATTCTGTCAAAAATCTTTTTTTTCCAGTTCCTGGAATTTGAGACACGCTTTTTTCTTCTATTTCAGTACATCTTGTCGTGCGTTCTCTTCTACTTTCTTCTCACGTTCTCTCTTATCACCCTTTAACGCTGTCGTGTAGGCGTCCATAAAGCAAATTAACTATGAGTGTGAGCGACGACGTATCAAATCTCGAGGATATCCTCGTCGACGAAGAGTACCTGAATAACGCCGCCAATAACGGCGGAATGGAGCTCGATCGTCCTGTCAGACCTGCTCCGTCGTCTTCTTTAAGCCCACGCGAGTCCAGACGTGCCAGTATCGACGCCTACGACGCTCGCGAAGACCATTTTGGACGCGATAATGACAACGAGGAGGACGAAGAGGACGTTCCGGTGGATCTACAAGACGAAGAAGACGTCCAAGAGGATCCAGTATCATGCGATGAGGAGGAAGAAGACGCTCCATCGCAATTACAGTCGCGTAACGTCCTCACAGAGGCCAGGACGCCGTCCGAATCCCATGCAGCTCTACGATCTCCACCGCGTTCCATGTCGCTTGGTGGCTTTTCAGTTGATGATGAAGACATCATGGAGATGAACGCACGAGAACAGGAACTGCTAGTGAATATTCAGGAGCTACAACGCCAATTATCAATGGTACAGATCCAGACAGACAAGCCTCAAGAAGAGATCGTTCCACCCACGATGGATGCCAGACACAGGTTGATTATGGTGTCTAATCGACTGCCGATTTCCGTTCAACGCAATGAAACCACGGGGGAACGGATCTTTACCATGAGCTCTGGTGGATTAGTGACGGCTTTGAACGGCATTCGAGACCAGGTGCCGTTTATTTGGATCGGATGGCTTGGAGAGGAGATCCCGCATGATGAGCAGAGCAAAGTGAGAGAGAAACTGGCCAGGGAGTTTAAGTGTGTGCCCGTGTTCTTGTCCAAGGAGATCGCTGCGAGATACTACAACGACTTCAGTAACGATATCTTGTGGCCGATCTTCCATTATGTGCCACTACCGCTTTTCCGGCCCGGAAGTGAGAAGAAGTTTGACTTTAGACAATGGGACGCGTACAAACTGGCCAACAAGCGCTTTGCACAGGCTGTGAATCAAGTGTATCGAGAGGGAGACTTTGTCTGGGTGCACGACTACCACTTGATGATGTTGCCGTCGTTGCTGCGGTCCCGATATCCGCAGTGCAAGATTGGATGGTTTCTCCACACTCCATTCCCTACTGCTGAGATGTATCGTATGCTTCCAGTGGGCAGAGAGATCTTGGAAGGCTTACTTGGTGCCGATCTATTGGGCTTTCACACGTACGACTACGCTCGTCACTTCATCGCGGCTTGTGCTCGTGTTCCTGGTGCATCCACGACTCCTAAAGGAGTCGAACTTGGCGATCACTTCTCAGCTATCGGCGTGTTCCCTATTGGTATCGACCCCGAACATTTTGAGGATATCCTGAATTCCGACGCCACGCAGAAACGTATCCAGGAACTCACTGTAAAATTTGCTGGCTGTAAGATTATCATTGGCGTTGATCGTATGGACTACATCAAGGGGATTCCGCACAAGTTACTAGCGATGGAGCGCTTTTTGTCTCTATATCCGGAACGATGCAAAGACGTGGTTCTCGTCCAGATCGGTGTGCCGTCACGCACTGGTGTTCAGGAGTATCAACATCTTGCGGCGAGTGTGAACGAAATGGTGGGGCGAATCAACGGTCGCTTTGGAACACTAACGCACTCTCCTGTGCATTATATCCACCGTTCTGTGACTCCCAGTGAACTTGTAGCACTCTACAACTTGGCTGACGTCTGTTTGGTGACCTCTATTCGCGATGGTATGAACCTCGTGAGTCACGAATACGTCATGTGTCAGAGTCAATCGTGTGAACCACGTCGCGAAGGACCGGGAGTTCTTATTTTGAGCGAGTTTGCTGGCAGTGCACAGTCGTTATCTGGTGCTATCCGAGTGAACCCGTGGAATACGACGGATATGGCCAATGCACTAGGATATGCACTGGAGCTACCGCTTATGGAGCGTGAGTATCGACAAACGAATCTTTATCGTTATGTCAAGAAACACACTGCGAGTTTCTGGGGTAAAAGCTTCTTAGCCGATTTGGAGGACGCAGTGTCAAGACCAAGGGCTGTAGTGAAGAAGCTGGTGAGGCTGCCGTCTATCGAAGTGCTTGGTGCTTATACGCGTAGTAGTCACAGACTGTTGGTCTTCGACTACGAAGGAACTTTATTCGATGACCCGGCTTCAGGACCATCACAACAACGTGGCAGCGTTGCACCACCCAAGCCTTTAGTTAAGCGTCTTATTGAAGCTCTCGCCAATGACCCGAAGAATACTGTGGTGCTGGTTAGTTCGCATGAACGAAACGTGATCGGAAGCTGGCTAACGGATCGTCGAGTGGGGGTTGTGGCTGAATCAGGATACTTCTACCGGTTACCCAATGATGATGAATGGCAAGTTATGACGGAAGACACTGATCCGTCGTGGAAGAAGGTGGTGCGTCCGATCATGCAGTACTTTACGGAACGCACGCCTGGAAGTCGAGTCGACAGCAAAGAGAGCTCGCTCACGTGGCATTATGGGGAGACAGACCCAATTTTTGGTCCAATGCAAGCGCGTGACATGCAGGTGAACCTGGAAGATGTGTTGTGCAATCTACCGCTTGAGGTAGTGCAAGGCACAAACCGTGTGGAAGTTCGCTTGCAGGGGGTGACGAAGACACTACTGCTTGATGAAATTCTTAATCGGTTCCAGCCTGATAATGAACCCAGTTCACCTACGAGCAGACGCGAAGGTCTGTCACCCAGACAAAGTCGTCGACAGCGACCTCCTTCACCTCAACTTGACTTTGTCTTCTATGCTGGCAATGGAGTGGAGGACGACGAGCTGTTCTTGTACTTTAAGGAACATGCGGAATTGGCCAGGAAAGAAGAAGGACCGACTCAACCAAGCACCACGCCAACGAATGCAGACGATGTGCCCCCTCCTCTATCCTTGTCAGACTCGGTCTGTGCTTTGTCTAAACGTGCCAACGTGTTCACGTGTCATATCGGTGGCAGCAAGACCGAGGTACGTAACCCTGTATTTTTCGCATTACGAGGCGACAGGTACTATTTAGTATTTGGCTAATGCTTGGCTTGCTTTGCAGGCTATGTTCCATTTGGAGCGCCCTACCGAGCTTGCGCGAATGTTGCGAAGTATGACCTTGACTTCACTTGTATTATTTAGTGGAACTAATATGTTAAATGTTGACTTATGTTCGTTGCAGTGCTGGCAGTTCACAGTCGTGATGGAGGTACACCAAGAACTCCCGTTGATCGAAGTTCATCCATCGAGCCGCCTGTGGCGCCTAACAGCTCTACATTCCACGCCTCAGCATCGATGCCATCGCTTCTGACTTTTGGCAAATGAACTTTAGTACCCGTCGAGCTAAGTAAGAGAGTGCAGTTGACATGATGGTACTAAAATGTACTGCACGTAGGAATTATGAATGACCTGGCACGTATTGCTT